GTTAATCTTTTTTCGGCCAATCAAAAAAAAAAAACATCAGTCAAAATGTCTAAAAGTTCAATTTCTTGAATACCAATAACTTCTTATTTTGTGTATCAGATTTTTTACATAAGGTTCACCTAAAAATAAAATAAACATTTGTGTATTATTTTTTTTTGAATATCCTAATCAATAATAATCAAAGTTAGTCGTGGATGGGTAAAGTATTTTTCCAGATTTACATTATTTTGTTTAAAATTCGAGAAGGAAAAATTGCGCATAAGGGAATTCAGCCACCAACATAAAATTTCAAATATGAATAATTCATTCGGCAATACGTTTCTTTTTTTATTTACTATACGAGAAATTATTTTTCTTAAAAATAATAATAATAAAAAAGTGGCTTCGATTCTCACTTGAATTGATTGATGTACGTTTTTTTTTTCATTGTCAATTAATTGTTCTAGTAAAAATAAAGGCTCAACTGGTGGCAAAGTAATGCAAATTTCCACAAATAATTTTCGTACGATCCATCAAAAGATTTACATCATTAAAAAAAGCAAATGTTACTCTAAGCCATTCTCAATGTAATTTCCTTACTTAGACACAGAACATAAAGTTAAATTTGTAACAGACAAAATTTACCCGTAAACCGGTAATAAAAAGAAATCGCACCTGTCTTATGGGACAACTATATCACTTTGTCCAACCTAATTAAACCGTCAATTCTTGTTATAAAAAAATTATGATAAACGTTTAAGAGCTTTATTTTACAAATTAAAACTTTATTATAATTGGAAATTAATTGTTGTAATTGATTCATTGTTTTTTTTTAAAAAAGATACATTTTGTTCGCTATATTCTTATATTATGTAGAAGAAACGCAATCATCACATTGCCACAATTAGGAATCAATAAGCCACCGCAGATCGTTCACATACGATTATTCAGGATCGGGGCACATACTAAATTTAGTCACCCGAAATCAGTTGTGGCGATATATTTTATATTTTTTCGCAACGCGCTTCAAAGCTTCTCATGCAAAAAAAACCGAACCGATCATCTCAGTTAACATCAAAAAGTTTTAGGATTCGAGCGAAAAAGAAGGAGGTAAAACATTTTAATTTCCCATCAGAGGAAACAATAAGTTTTGAAATTTGAAAGAATTTCCTTGTTTTAGATAAAGCCTAGAATCATTCAAAAATCTATTCGCACGTGAACGGCAAAATTGCAGATCAGCCATTAGCCACACTACTGACAATCTCAAGAAACTAGAAGATTCTCTTAACAAGTTTGAGATTCTCAAACTGCCAAGCAAATAAATATAAACATGATTTATATGTTTTTAATCCTATTACGAACTTAAAAATAAATACAGTAATGAATGCCAAGACAGAACTTATCAAAGTTTCACTTAGATAATCAAGCTTAAAAAAAGCTTCGCCGTTTATCTCCGTCAGATATTTCAAAACATCTGTTGTAAATTTTTGGATGCAAACACACATGAATTATTTAGCTTACATATTATTTCCTTGCAAAAGTGGAAATCAACAAACCGTTCAAATAATCAGCTTCACATGCACTTTCATAGTTAGGCCGTGAATTCAATATCGGGTCAAAAAAAAAATTTATTGGATTTTTCGAGAAAAACAGGGGGTATCATAAAAGTATTTTAAAAAAAATTACACAATAATATTTTTTTAAAGTAAGACGATCTATTTATATCAAGTATGATGTATGTTTGTGCAACACAACCAAAAAAAAAAAATATAAATACTCATCAAACCGAAACAGCTTTTGCAGTTAAAAAAAAAAATCAACCAAATCTACAAAAATTAAAAAAAAAGAAATAGTTTTTTTTTATCTTTCTTTTTGCAAAAAGTGATCAGTTTTTTTATCCTCATTATACCATAAATAAAGAAATGCAATCAAAAACTAACACCGTGCAATCCATGAAATCTGAACAATCAAGACGTTCATCTTCAAATAACGTTGGTAGAAGACAACTTGCAATCTCAAGAAGAGTAAACACTTTTCCTTATTATAGAAGTAAAGTCAATAATGAGAATCATTGTTACAAATGTGATCAAGGTGATGATTATATTAATAGTTTGAGCACTAGAATTGCTAGAATCGAAAGTTTGGTTGACGATCTTAATAAAACTGTTAAAGCTGCAACTCCCACTCAAAAAATCGGTTCTTCTCCTTTGTCCGCTCTTGATTCCGTTAATTTGTCTAAAATGAGTATCGACGAATTACTTCGTTTCTCTTCTCAATTGGGGATACGTTTATTTGGTAACCTTGATAAAGAAAAGAAATCCTCTATTAAAATCGAACAGAAGGAACAGAAGGAACAGAAAGAATCTAAAGATAAAATTTGAGATTTTAATTTCTACTTCCAAAATTTCAATCTCTTGTTTCTGCACATAAAGAACTTTTTGATATAAAAAAAAAGAAACAAAAAAGAAACCATTCTTTATATATAGATATATTTATCTATCTGTAAGATATAGGGAATCTTTTTTTTTTTTTTGACAGGACGATAATCTTTTAAATAACTACGAAAACAAAAAAGGAAAACTTATGCTTTATCTTTATCTTTTATAATTATGAAGAGAGGAAAAAACCCCCAAAAATATAGGAAAAATAATTGTATATAATAAGCCTAAATAAATTCAAAAGAGCATTTTATAAAGATGTGGTTACGTTTCTATTAATAGAATGACACATTCATTATAATTGCTGTTAATTATGTTGTAAATTAAGAATCTTTTTTTTTTTAAAAAGAAGAATAATTAATCTCCCTTTATTTTCTCATTTCTCCCATTATTATGTAAATACCAATCTTCATGGTCAAAACATTTTATATTATTTAGTTCTCTATTATATCACATTAATTATTATAACTTTTATAGAGCAGAAATTTTTTTATTATAAAACCAGACTATTATATACTTTTTACCTTATCTTTTTAATTTGGTAATAATTTTTTCGTTTTCTCCTTTTTTTATCAGTTGTATTCTCAAATAAGTTAGATTTAAATAAATTTTGATACTAAAAAAAAAAAGAACCTTCCCATTATTCTATTAAATTAATTTAAAAATTAGATGTTATTTTTCGCAGTAACATCTTCAGTAAATTTTATAAATATTGTATTCGATAAGTAAAACTTGTCGATTGACACAGAATCCAAGAAAAGTAAACATATCTAAAAGAATATGTCGTGATTAATGATGCAGGTATAAATAAATGGTTTCGTCCGAATGTAGGACGAACCATGCTAAATGCAAGTGCCTACACTGAATTCCCATAAAATCATGTGATTGATCATTTTCGTTTCACATTTCTGAACAGAGACAAAGTATTAAAACGTATTTTTCGTATTTTATTGATGCAATTACAAATGGCATTGTCTCCAATTAGAGGTAATGTATTTTTTAAAAAGGGGGAAGGAGGTGATTCGGAAATTTTTATTGCATCGGTTTCATAAAAAGATTGTCTGAAAATCATTGTTTGATTAAAGAATCTTGTAGAAATTATACAAGTTTATAATGTAGAATGATGAGTGTTGTAATTAACAAATTGATTTTTTTTTTTAGTAAATAAACTAATTAAGAAATTTTTTTCTTCTATTTATAGAACGTAATATTATTTTTATTTTATTTACCAGGTATTTTATTTTAAATTTTTATTTACAAAATATTTTTGCTATATTTTCCAGTTTTTATCTTTTTTTAGTTAAAACCGAAAATTATTATACTCGAAAAGGAGATGTAAATTTATGACTAAACACTTAGCCTTAAAAGGTTATGGTACGTTAAATAGATTTCGTCATCATGATAAGAAGGAAGCTATCTTTGAATGAATTTACAGGACCGGCCCAAGTTAAGGTATCCAAGTTGTGCAGCAAAGACCATGTTGTTAAACTGCTTCGTCTCATGTTACGTAGTAAAGAAATGGCGTTTAAATTCCCAAAAGAAGGAACCAATCATGTGATGATGTAGTAAAATTTTTTTGACAATCGACTATAGAAAGATATTGCCGATTGTGAACTCGTGAATGATAGGTAGTGTAACAGTATTTAAATCGGGGAAATCATGGAAAATAAATTCCGGCCAAAGGTTTAGATTATGCGTAATGTTCTGAAATGAACTAACTTGATAAGGATGAAAAAAAAAAGATTTTGGAAATTAACTCACCTTTTTGTAATGGGTACCTTTCTCCTGAGAACAACAAAAATACTCTCCCCTGAAAATGTTGGATTAAACATTTATATAAATTTGGAAGTTATGAATAGTACATAAACATTATGAGCACATAAATAGAATATTTCGTAGAACAATGGTAAATCTTTATTATTTAGTGACGCATCGGTTTTACACTACATAAAAAACTTATTTCAAATGTTTGTTTTCTTTGAATGTTCCATCAATATTTGATTACTAGCCACACCCTTTTTTAAGGAGGTGATGATCACGAAATGATATGATCTCACGCGCTTTGTACCATTCGCTAACAAAATCAATTCGTTCAAGAAAGATTTTTTTTTTTCGATTTTCTATTGCGCGTTTAAAAATAATAATATTTTTCAAGATTTATAAGAGAAATACTTATTTATTATATATATATATATATATATCTTTATTACATATATAATTTTAAAAAAAATTCCTTAAATCACGATCAATAAACTTAATTCGCTTTAGCATATTAAATATTTATATTCTGATAATTGGATGAATCAATGAAAATAATGGAACATTCTGTATCCATATACGCGTAACAATTTTTAAATCATGATATTTATTGAAGAAATAAATAAATAAATGAAGTTAGTTTTCAGAGGTATGAAAACATCCACCCGGTTATAAAGAACGAAATTTACAAATATATACAATACAATATCATAAGTTAAAAAGAAAGAGCGACTTTAAACATATTAGAAATGAAGCTTAGTCTTTAAGAATAACTATTTCAAAATGACAAAAGAATGAGTAAAAATATAGCAATTACGGAATATATTAAATTCTCCTTTGATATAATGCGATATATCTTTGCTGATATGTTTCATAGGCTTGTTGCGCCATATCAATATATGCTTGCTTGACATTTTTGGGCTCGGAATTCCATAGTTTGCTTGCTGTGAGGGATACAATAGTTTGAGGCAAGGAACCAAGTCCCTGCAAGTCTCTTTGTCTTTTACAAGCTACATAATATGCCTTTTCTCCGTTGAAGTATTTTATTTTAAGATGATTAATGTCTGTAGCACGCATCGAAGCTCTCGCTGGCAAAAGGTCAATGGCGGTGATAACAGGAGGAATAGGTGGTGGTTGAATACGATTAACGTATTCAGGATCCATGAAAGAGGAATGGTCTTTGCGGATAAATTAAATAGAATTTAATTAAATTGAATTTGAAGGGTTTTGCCAAAATATCAAACTTTGGGCTTAGGGAATTATCGTTATTCTAAGTTTGTCTGCTAAGTAAAAAGTAAAAAGCAAGCTTAGCAAGCGATGTTAGAAGAAAAAGAAAGACCATTTTTATATATACGTGAAAAAACCAAAAAAATCTATTCGGGTGCATTTAGATAATCTAAAGTGAATTTTAAATTAAGCATTAACTTGAAATGCTAAGTTATTAACTGGTCATGTATTATTACAAAAACGTACCGTTATTTTTGGAATTGCCCATTGTAATAATGTTCATTGTTTCAAAAACTTATGTAAAATTTTATTTGATAATAATGTTGATCTTTTTCCGCTTCTAAATACCGTTTTTTGTTTCCAATCTGATGTAGTACCATCAATGTTTTTTAAATGTAATTATATTCCTTTTTTTGACCCACAATAAGTCTTTCAACATTTATCAAAAAAGGTAAGGTCAGATGCAAGGCAAAAAAATTTATGTTTAGTTTTTTTTTTTAATAAATGAAATTACAAAACGAAACCTTCTTTGATTGTAAATTAAAATTTCAAAAGTTTTATCCGTTACCAAAACCGTTTTTCATCTTATCGTGCAATTCTAATTCGTTATATCATTAATTTAATCATTTCATTAGAGGAATATATATGAAAGCCCAAAGTACTAATTGATTCATCACACGTGTCATAATTCGCAAGAAAAAAAAAAAACCAGCCAAAGATAAGAATATACTTCCTTGCCAAGGTTTTCTTTCAATGTTTCTAAAAACATCATTAGCAATGACCATTTGAACACCGATAAAACCGTTTTGGTTTGAGATAAAGTAAATCTTTTTTAAATATTCACACGTAATTTGTAAAAAAACATTGGGACGCGTAAAGGCATACATATCTGTCAAACCTCGAAATGTTGTGAAATCTTGTATGTCTTGTTTACAACAATAATTAGTTTCTCATCGATTCTTAAAAATAACCGTTTTTTCTCGCAATAAATTCTTGTACTACCATAAGCGCGTATTTTCAAGATGACAAAGAAGAAAGAAATAGTTTAATTAATGTTACACCAATATTCTTTTCAACATTCATTGAATAAGACCTTATTTGATCACAGTCAGCCAGTAATTCCAGAAATACTAATATTTGTAACTTAATAATAATAAAAAAAGATTATTTTTCTCGGATATTTCGATTTAATAATTAAATTAGTTGGATGATCGAAATTTACAATTCATTTGCATTTTTAACGATTGTGCGAACTCGCTTTGAGATGTTACCCACGAACGAACCCATTTTTCCCATTTTCCTCTCTTTCAAAATGCGAGAAATTCATGTATCAAGATGTCTGAAATCACACAACTAAAACAAATCTATTTAGACTAAATCGGGTTTTAAATCAATTACGATATCATGTAAATTAAGTAAATAATTACATCTTTGAAATATATTTTCCAACTTTCGATAATGGGGATAATCTTGTTCTCAACAGGTTTAATTAAATAACATAAGCATGATTTTTTTTTGATTTTATCTAGCGTTAGTTTATCGATTCATATTTTTAAAATTTACTACCAGCCGCAGCAGTAACTGTGATAAGATGGTAGGCCAATTTGGACAATGTTTGTTGTACGAAAATCATTGTAAATTAAAATTTAATAACTTATGGTTCAAAAAATGAATCAACAAACTTCTTTTCCCGTAATTTTTACTTTTAACAATGTCTTCTCACATAGAAGAAGGAAGAATCATTTTGAACGTTGGCGGCATCAAGGTAACTCCTTTCTTCACGGGATAATTTTTCTCACTTTTTTTTTGTTGACTTTTTTTTTTTGTTCGTAGTATGAGACATATCGAACAACATTAACCGCATATCCAGATACGTTACTTGGCACAATGTTTCAGGAGAGAAATAAAGAACTTCTTAGACCTAATGGAAACGAGTACTTCTTTGACAGAAATGGAAAGGCGTTTCATTATATAATGGAATATTATCGCACTGGTAAAATTCTTTGGTTAGAAACAAACAGTTCTATAACAAAGCAAGAATTGAAAATCGAAATGGATTTTTTTCAAATCCCCTGTCCATTATCGACATCGGTATTACATCATAATTCATTTCCAACATCAGATCAATACGAGGAAATGTTACAAGACTTTATAGAATCTTTAATAGCTTGTATTTATGAAACAAGTTGGAACTTAAGAAGTTATATTAATATATTCTTTTATTCTTCTTCTGTTAGAAATAATAATCATGATGTTGGCAGTGTCGTTGTTAAAAGGATTATCGGTATTGATCCTTATATTGAACAAATTGAAAAAATTTTAGAGCCTTTTAGAATTAGTGGTTATGAGTTATTAAAAAAATTCGAATTAGATATTGAAGAGCAATTAAAAAAGTCGATTCAAGAATTGATAGATTTAGAAATTTCTCATCAACCAAAGTGGAGTGGTTATGATTTTACTATATCTCCTTATTATAGCGTAACTGTTAAATTACAAAGTCCTATTTATAAAAACAACAAATGACACATTTTTTTTATTAATTACAAAAAAAAAAAATAAACAATCACTTGTTTTTTTTTTTTTTTTTTTTATTATTTATTATATTAATTGTTCATGTATTTTTTTTTTTTTAAAAAAAAAATTATTAATTAATGTTCAATTATAAAAACAACAATAAATGAAAAAAAAAAGTTTTTTTTTTTCTCACTCAAAGGAATAAAAAGGAAAGGGTAGGGGAAACAAAGATCTCATTATTTATATATATGCCTTTACAATTTTTTTTAATGAAACCTAGCAAACCAAACAGGTAAAAGTTTTTTGACCTTTTCTCTATCAGCTTCAATCATTCGTTCGTCATCAATTCTAGCGATGCTGTGTCTTCCGCTTGTCAAATGCCTGCAAATTCCATCATAATTGTATAGTTTTCTTGTAGATTTCCAACATAATCTACACTTGAAGAAATCTTTATCCTCAACTTCTTTTTCAATGAGATACATACATCCCCTTACACTCGTAAACGGTCCAGGTCGCTTAATCTCTGGATTCTTTAATAAATGTCGAGCTTCCCTACGAAGTTTTGGAATCAAGACCTTGATCAAATATTCTTCGGTCCAAGGAATGTTCTCATCATTATTTACATACGGAGGATTTATAAATGATGGGCACCATTGAATACAATCTATAACCGGATCTGTTAAATAAATTTGATAACCTTGATCCGGTGAAGTTTTAATATCTGATGCTAATGTATCGTAAGACGTGATAAGCGATAACATCATTTCGGTCATTTGTTGAAGCCTATGCATCTTATTCAAAACAGTCGGATACTCCATCTTTAATCTATCAATAAATGTTGGCCAAGGACGTGTCATGAATGGAATCTTCCAGGTATCCTGAGCTTCAAGATAGGCGGGTAATTGAAAAATATATTTATCAAGATATTTTTGTTGTCCTTTTTCATCCTTGATCTGACGGAATTCGTCTAAAAGGGTTCTAAATATCCTTTCATCATCTAAGGATTGTTTTTTAAAACATAATTCATCAATCCTTTCCCGTTTTTCAACCTCATTGAGCAATTCTGCAACCCAAAGTTTCTTCTTTTGTATCCACGCACTACGCTGTTTTAGTGGATTTGACATACATTCCCGACGCCCTTGTTCTAAATGTGTACTCCAATATACGGTGATCTTTCCGTTCAAATTTGAGTCAAACGCGTTAATACGTTCATATGGTACAAGCATTGTGATATCAATAGGTAACTTTGCCCATTTCGGAAGGTTTTCTGAACTATTAAAATGATGTTAAAATTAAAAACGGTTGATTAATCATGAACTAATCATTTCTTTTAAAAAAACAAAACAAATAAAACTCCCATATGATTGATTACATACCTTATTATTCGTTTCCTAAGACATTCTCGACAAGATCTTACCCGAAAAGCCCAATATACTTTAGGCGTTTCTTTTCTTGTCCCACAGAATTGGCATCCTCGTTCTAACATCGTTAACTTGATGTATGTTGATTCTTCCATCCCAATTGGCGGTCGTAACTTTATCCTTTCAAGATATTTCATCCTTGAAGTGCGCCATATATCTTGCGTCACGTATGAAGCGGATGAATTTAACCAGAAACGAAATTGTTTGCAAACGCACATCAGAGAAAATAGAGATGCCGGAGAAAGGTGATAGCATACTTCGATAAATATATCTATGGGAATGCTCGCGTTGAAAGATGGCGGAACAAGTGGCGCAGCGCGTTTCAAGTGGGTGTCTTTCGATGATAACATAGTAATAGCTATTTCTTTGAATGATACTTTCGCAACGCAATTTTCACTTGAAGGAGTAATGGCATCGTTAATCACGATAAGATCTTTCGTGAAAATCTGCTCATCACATTCTTCTTTCGCAACGGGTGTTGCAGGCGCAGTAGTCGACAGGGAACTTTGCCGCAGTTCGTTGTCATCAGTGTCCGGTGTCGCGGTTCTTGACTCTTCGTTTTCATCGAATGTATTCGTGAGCGTGTCATCACATTTCTCGTCACCTTTTATTTCTGACACACTCGATAAATTTGAAGTTATTACCGGGTTGTAATTTTGTTCCGAATCGATAGACGCGGTTTGAGCGTCATTCTCTTGAGAGGAATCCGTTGAGATGTTTAATTCTTTTACGATATTAGACATGAATGATGAAACCGTTGAACAATTTTGTTCTATTATATTTGGATTATTAGCATCAGTATTTAGACACGAATTTGAAACGTTAGCAAATATTTGTTGAGATTCCGATTGATGTTCCAATGAATCCATCCTCCTTGTTGAATTAGGACATTGCTTTTTAAATAAACTAAGACCATAATCTAACTCAACTGAATAACTATTTGGAGGTTTACTTGAAAATTTTTGCTTTGGATTCCGTTTCCTATAATTGGTTCCAATTATATCGTCTAAATCATAAGAACAAGAATTATCAAGTGTGGAATTATAAATGTTATAATTTATTTGTTTGTTTGTTTTAACACTTATGGTTTCATCTTTAAACTTTATTCCCAAAAATTTATCAAATTCATGAAATATTAGATCAAATAAAGAAATTATTATGCGAAACGGGATAGTGAAAACGGTTTGTCTAAATATAAAAGAATGTCGAAAAATAGCGATCATCGAGGCCATTTTTTTTATTTATTATTTTTTTTTTTGTTTAATAGAACTCTTTAGGTTGCCCAATGAGTTGTCGATGAGCGCATGAAACCAAAAACTCTTTTTTTTTTAAAAGAAAAAGAAACCCTTGGCCAAAGTTATAAATATGCGAGAGTGTATAAAATTTATATATATATATATATATCTTGAAAAGGCGACCAGATTTTTTAAATGGTCATAAGGAGAAGGAAAAAAGAAAGTAATTGTAAAAAAAAAAAAAGTTCCAAAAAAAGGATTCCATTTTCGATGATTTTGTTTAGTTTTATTAATAATGAAATATAATTGTTGCTCTGCTTGAAATGTTCAGCGGTGTTTTATTGGTGACATGTAAATAAAACGAAATTGTTTTTTAATAAATGCATGTTAAGAAAACGGCCAATGAATTGAGTTTTCTAGAATTATTTTATTGTACAAATTTAACATGATTTTAATAAATGTCACGTGGAATGTACTTGTGAACCAATAAGGATTTCGCTTGATACTTTTATTTTTTTATTTTGTAAACAATAACTAATTAACTTATTGTATATTTTCGTCTTGTGCATTGGATTACGATATACAGTAATTCTTGTAGAATATCAATTATTATTTTCTCTCATTTAAAGTTTTTTTTGTGCGAAAAATGGGGGTGTTAAAAGGAGAATTTACAAAAGATAATGATCTACAACCTTATCTTTTCAATGATGAAAACAATTACTTTCGTTTCTTAAAAGGAAATGAACTTTTGTTATTTATTTGGTTTCCCCTTATCACCTCGAAAGGGTTTTTTTGTTTGTACATTAAAAATGACAAAAAACAATTTTTTTGTAATCTTGGGGATATGAAGCAAGAACCAATCACATTTAGGATATTAAATGTTTACCATATTTGAATAAAATGTCTATATTGTATCAATCAAACAAAAAAAAAGCCAAGAATTTTTTCATTTGTGGCTTCATCTAGAAAAATGTTTTTTTTTGCATTGCGGTCCTTTGTTGTGGCTTTTGAACCGCTATAACTAATATTTCATTATGGCTAAATTGAATTTTTCGTGGTTTCGTGGGACATTTGTTTGTATTTCCCCTTCTCATGCGAACATTTCAATCCGGAATGGGAGATTTTTGTTTATTAAAAAATTTACTATTTTTAATAAGCCACAGGATTATTAAGCAAATTTAAAGTTTACAAGAAAATTCAAAAAATGCTTTGGGAATGGCTTAAATTTTTGAAGTAAAAAAAGGGGCTAAAAATAATTCTCGTTTATCCTAAAATAAAATTCTTGTTTTTCATTCCATTCACGTTTTTCCGTTTTGAAACGATTAGAAACAACAGCAAGGGATTTTTGAGTTTAGGATTCTTTCTTCTCGGGGGTCATTGGTCTATTCTCGAATATTTCTTTGTTTACAACTACAATCGAAATTTTTTTAAATAAAGATTCAAAATTTCATGAAATGATCCTCAAGTATTGTTTTCGTTTTTCTTTGCCAAATAAATTATCACCGAGCTAAATCATCACGAGCTCTTAATTTTGGTAAAAAATGGATTAGTCATAAGAATTGTACCAACACTAAAATGAGTTGGCGTTAAGATTCAGCCCAGTCGAATTTGCTTGGGCAATGATTTAAAATTTTTAAAACTCGTTTCAGAGAAAACAATCAAGTTTCATTGTTATATTAATGTGTAACTGCTGCATTCATCACATGTGCGTCATATGGTGCATCAAAAAAATTATATAAAACCTTTTGAAGGTTGAAAATTTTTTATTTCAATTGCAAGCTTTTTGTTTTGTTTTAGTTTTTTTCTTTTTCCCTCACATCATTGATTTTTTAAATTCCCTTCATAAAACTCAATTAAATAAATACGATGGGTATTTTGATGTCTTCACCACCACAAGAGGATGTTGACATCCCCAAATACTTGATTAAAGTGAATGGAAAAGAAAAGATAAACAGATGGAGGATTCCAATTGGTTTAACTGATAAAGAAACTAAATCTTTGGAAACATTTAAAAAAATTGCATATAGGTATGATTATAATTGTTGTTGTGGTTTCGGTTTAGATCCTATTCTCGGTAAGTATAGTAAACATTTTTTTTTTTTACAGTAAAATCAATTGTTTATTTGAATTTAAATTAATTTTGGTTTTTATTTCTTCTATTAAAGGGCTGGTACCTGTAATAGGCGATTTCTTGGGAGTTTGGTTATCATTAATGTTAATCAAATCGGCTAAACGAACTGCGGAAGATTCTCAATTTCAAAACCGAGATCTGGTAGAAATGCTTAGTAAGATGACTTGGAATGTTGTAAAGGATGCTATGGTAAGAATAATTTATAGTTTTATGATTTTTATCCCCACTATTTTTTTTATGTTAATCCTTTTCTTTTTTTCAAAAAAGATTGGCTTTATACCTATTATAGGGGATTTCTTTGATTTCTTTGTTAAAGCAAATACAGCCAATGGAGAGCTCTTTCAGTATTATCTCATTAAACATTCAAAAAATCGATCGATGGTGGTTGATCATCGTATGGTTGAAGTTATTTCTCACGCTAGTTAACCTTCCCCCTATTAATAAAAAGTAATTTCAAAAAGTAATTTCAAACATTCCTCGACACTTTATTCGTGGAGGAAATAATAATAACAATAAAATTAATAATAATAATTAGATAAGTTTCATTTAAATTTATCATACATTCATATCTTCCCAATATCATAATTTAGTAAAAATTCATTATCAACATCCCTTATCAATTTTAAATATATTTTCGTTTCTATATATATATTTTTTTGCATATAAAATGATTATACCGTAATAAAAAAATTTAAACTGTTAATTGAAGATTGTTGGTGAAACCTCAAAAATGCAAGTTGAAAATTAACATGTGCCGCGTTTCTCCTTCAAAAAAGAAACAAATTCTCATTACCCAAAATTAAGAACAAAACTAGAATATCGAAAAGGACATCCAATTTTGTATTGATGATGGATATCATAGTATGCTTTATAAACCAATGAATGGATAATTACCGATTCATAAAAGGAATTTATAATTTGTTCAACCAATCTGTTCTTATTTGTAATAAAAAAGAAAAAAAATATTAGCAAATCTCACAGGCACAAAAAGATCTTCCACATACAAAGAATCTTGTTCAAATTCTCGTTTATTAGAAAAATATTTGACATATTTCAAACTCCACGATTATCGTGAATGTGTATATTTTGGAGAAAATCTGTTGTACTGATTCCGCTGAACAATGAAAACCTTTTGTTGGGATTCCTAAATTGGTAACTGGTGCTTTATTATTTGTAACACGACCGAATCTACGTGTTTTAACTTTGAAATAATCCTCTAGTAAGCCCCAAAATTTTATGGGTTACTTTTAAACAATTGAAACAAATATACTTGATCATGTGATTACGTAAATGAACCCTTTTTCATATTCCATCGTTCACATGTTCTCGCTTATTATATTATAATCCATTTAGTTTTATAATAGAAAAAAAAAATTTTTTTTCCATTCTCTTTCGTGGAAATTAGTATCCGTTTTTTTTCGGCATTTTGGAAAAATCTAGACATGTCATTATTTAATATACTTTTTCGTGACATATTGATTACAACATTTTATTATTATATATAACAATCTAATGTACAGTAAATTTTGATATCCCAATTTTTTTCCCTCCTGCCAAATTCTCTTTTTTTTACATTTTTATCAAATATCTTTATAATATATATTTTTATTACATCGTAAAAATTACGAAATAAAACATGGAAAGTTTTAATGATCCACATTCATCATCGTCGTCTATGCTTTCTCTAAAACCCTTAACGGGCGCATGCCCTACATTAATTCATATGCCAGTTGACATATTCATTGAAATATGTTGTCATTTACCTTTCGTTGACTTATTCCCCTTAATGGGTGTATGTCGACAATTTCATTATTGGTTGCACTCTACAACTTCACATATAACACAAAGTATCTGGCGTACTTCAAGAACAAAATTCGAAGAATACATGAAATTAGATCCACCTGAAGGAATGGATGAAATTTCATTTATTAAATTATCCATGGTTGAAAGGAAATGTCAAATATGTAAAAGTGATCAGGAAATACCAGATATATATTGGGCTTTTCGTCTTAGACTATGTCGACCATGTTTTCGTAGAAGGATTAAGATGTTAGTAAGATGAAATGGAAAAAAAAAAAAAAAAAAAAGAATGATCAAGTTTTCTCCTTGCTTTAGTTTTATCCCCCCCAAAAAGGCGTATCCCTAACTTCTTTTTTCCCTTTTTTTTTCACTAAACAGAGCTCCTGATAACATCCCTGCATGGGCTAAAGATCCCATTGACATCACCCTTGTTTTACCCCATGAAAATTTAAGTTCGATGCAATCCAATGTAAATATTGTAAAGAACGTATACCTGACTTCAGACCTCGAAAAGACTCTACGAGAATGTCTTTCGATACCACCGGAAGAACTTGGAGATTGGATTTTTAAAAAACAAATAATCGCACAAGGCAAGATCGAAGATTCAGCAAAGCGAGGGGAAAATGATAAGCAAAGATTAACATGGTTGCTTAAAGAAAAACAAGAGGTTTTACGTAAAACCGTTCAAAGTCTTGTAGATACAACTGATGAATTCGGTAACAAAATTTACTTTAATCGAACAATTTTGATTCAACCTTCATATAAAAAGGCTAATGATTCATTGAGAATGCCTTTTATGGATACGGATCCTTGGCCGAATTTATATGAAAGGATAAAAAATGATTATGATGATTGGAAGAAAAATAATCTTTTAACAATTCAAAATCAAAATCGAAGGTTAATTATACGTAGGATAATTCAATTGGTCACTTCTTATAGAAGACTATCTGATATAAAGGATTCAAAAAGTGGGATTTTTTTAAATGAACCAGTGCTAGATTGTCTTGAATGGTGTCCGTCTTTCATTAAACCTCCAGAGGTGATAAACGACGTTGACGATGTGGTTCGACAAATAAGGAATGAAGCTCGTGAATATTTAAGGAACAAACGACATAGACGTTATGGGCCTTTTTCAACAATCGAGGGATGCATTTCGCTTTTGACACAATGCAATGAATACGCTCGATTATTCAAGTGTAAATTATGTTGGGGTTCCGGCAGAAAATCTTATAATTACACTGAGATGACTAGGCATTTAATGTGTCAAAGTACACATAATTTATATTTTTCTGATGTCGATGATTCTATGATTGAGTTGGATTATGAAAGGGTGAAAAAACTTATGCCAAGATGGTTTGGTATAGTATTAAACAGGATTATAAAACCAATTAAATGAAAAAGAATTCTTCAACGAGCATTCTACGTGAAAAAAACAAAACTTTGCATTTTATTTTTCTTAAATCAAAAAAAAAAAAAAAAACTATTGTAGATAGGTGTAAAGATTTATAACAAAGTTGAAAGCATTTATATTTTATATTAGGCATACAAACAAGAAGATTCTATTTATGTTTCATTAAATTTTGCATTGCTTCTGCGCATTTTCGCGGGACCGTATAAAAAAGTACTTGATCCCTGTAAATCTTGACGAGAATAGATTTAGATATAGTACAATTTCTTGACACAACATCATCATTCTTCCAATAAGTATCAATAAGTATAAGATGTACTTTGATTTTACGAAAGTCTTGGAGGACCTAATTAAGAAATGATTGTAAACCAACCTCCTTTGAATGTAACAGCTGATCAGTTTCCCGTGTAACGCGAGGATAACTTTTCTTTTAAATTTGATAAAATCAATGATAAAATAAATGTTACTGTCCCTTTCAAAATCCAAGGTCGGGGCAAAGAATTATTTAAAATATCGCTTACGTTATTTCTTAACATCTAATCAAAGGATTAAAATCTTTTTTTTTTCAATTAAATGAACAAATCCATTTTAACTATTGACCACAAATTACGTTATCTTTTTGCGCATTAATTATTAGCGAATTGTTTTTTTTTTGAAATAAATACGAATTATTTTATATTTCATATGAATTTATTCCATAGTCCAAAAAAAAATTATTTTAAAATATATCCTGGTTACGAGATTTTCTATATTAAACCTTTTTTTCGCCATTTAAGGTTACGACAACTGTTCTTCCGGATGCGTAATTTCTATGTTCGCATAACCAAATGCTTGGAAAGAAAATTTGGAAAAGAGATGATTAAAGAATGATACGGAAATCATCCAAAAAAAAGGTGTGTTGAATGTAATTTACCCTTGCCAAGTACCAAGATTTAATTTACTATTTGAAATGGGTATGTTCAAAGAAGCACCAAACAGAGCACTTTTAATGTGTGCAGGCTGCAATTTGATCAAAAATAACCAAAAGAAACAAGAAAAAAAGAAAAGAAACAAAAAAATTTTAAAATTTGGTGATTACACCGAAGAGACGATGATCGATAAAAATTTACCATATCGTCGGATCCTTCGGCGGTATGAATGTATGGGAAATTTTCAGGGACAATTTTGTTTAATGCCATCTCCATGTCTGTCCTTACATCCGGGTCAACATTCTCATTTAAACAAAGTGAAGCGGAAGTATGTTTAACTTTGCATTTAAAGAAGGAACAAAATTTCAGGTTATAATTAATCATTTTCAAGATAAAAAAAAAAAAAATCTTACTAAAAATATTGGCCATTCCTATCTTCAAATTTTGAATGTCGGGAATTTGTTTCTCGATTTCATTGGTGATTAAATGACATCCACGAGATTTGGATTTTAAATTGATAGTTTTTTGAAACCACATTTTAAATAAAAGTGAAAAAAGCTTTGAAAACCATACTACTTTATATACGTTTTAATAATGTGATTCTACGTCATCGTTGGTAATTTCGATTTGCAAATTTTTGTCATTTAAAAAATTACATTTGATCGAACATAAATTTCAGACTAATTGGATCGTCGAATTATTTAAAATATGTTCCATCAACCATCACATCACTTGTCTCTCGTGTCACACGCATCACGTGATAAATCATCACGCGATAATAAATAGCTTTTATATTACGCAAGCTTTTTTACGTAAAATTTTTTTTCCACAAATTTTTTTTTCCCCAAAAGAATATCCATAATGTCTTCAAATCAACCAAGTTCTTCTTCAAAAACACCACAACAAACCGATAATGCTAGTGGTGATAAACAACAACAGCAGCAACAAACCCCAACGCAAAAAGAAACGATACCGCAACTTGGTGCTTTAGAAGAAGACGACGAATTTGAAGAATTTGCTTCTGAAGGTATGCAGTTTATTTAAATCATTACTAGAATTGAAATTGTGGATCATCGTTAAAAATATACGTGTATTGAGCTAAGATAGAGCCTGTAATTTGGACATAGTTATTGTAACGTACGTCGTACGCTTTAAGTTTGAGGAATTTGCAATTTAGAGTTTGAGAAATTGTTTATGGAATTTAATAAAGAATTTAACTATTCCATTGGCATTAATTCAAATTTGGTCCCTTCATTTTTGCACTTGATACATTAGATTGGAATGAAACAGAAGAAGATCAAGAAACTCATTTATGGGAAGACAATTGGGATGATGAGGATGTTGAAGATGATTTTTCTAAACAACTTAGGTCAGTCAATTCAATTCGAATGCTTTTTTTTTAATACTCGCGTTTTTTTTTTTTTTTTTTTTTTTAAAAAAAAAAATAAAAATACAATTCCATCATATTAACGAATTTATGATGTTGTCTGATGATATAGGCTAGAGATCACAAAAAATAGTGGTAATGCACCAACACCTATGAAAATTTGATAAGTCTTGATATGAAAATAATAATAATAATAAAAAGAAATAGCGTCGAAATCATAAAATCAAAAAAAGATGGGTGAATAAACCATAGAAGTAATGTTTTTACGTGTTAAATAAAGCTGATTTCCGGCATTAATTTAATTATAGTGGTATTTTTTCTTTTTACTTAAAAGCTTTTAAGCTTTTGTATATTTCCAAATTTAAAACATAAAAAAAATTTTTTTTGATCGGTATTCTTTATTAATTTATGTATTGTATTAATATTATTGCTATTTTCTTTGGTGAAAAAATTATTCACTCAAGCATTAAACTAAAATCTAATCCTATTCAAAAGGAAATAATGATATATTTACAAGTGGGTATTTTTCCACTTCGAGAAAGGATGGTAAATAGAAATAAAAATAAAAATAAAAATGAAAATGAATCGAAAATCAGAAATTTCGAGTGTATTTTTTTTAGCTAGTTCTTTTACTCGATCTTTTTTTGGGTTGAGGAAACTTTATAGGCGCGGTCAACACAGCACGTTTAGGTTGCGCGCCAAGCGTATTTATTCCGAGTTCATTTATTTCTTTCTTACTCAAGTTCTGAATAGAACAGCCAATACACTTGAACAAATTATTAAGTCTAAACAAATAAAGAAATTAAATTAATAACGATCGTATTATTTCAGTAAAGTGATTTGAACACCTACTTATTTGTTGTAGTACGCAAATCTTCGCTTATTGGCATGGGATCCACATGATATTTGTCGAGTATCAAACACAGAACCAACATATAACAGGTCAATTTCTGTTCATTTCTCTCGGTGAATTTTAAACTAGTGAAAAAAAATTATCAAGATAAATATATTTATATCTAAATTGAAAAACAAATAAAAATTACCGTTCATTTCCTCCGATCTTCTTAAAAGCACGATAGACGAAACGCTCATATAGTTTTTCCAAAATAATATTTGGAGGACTTCTCAGTTTTTCGGCCATCCGTTGACGGCTTTGTACATTGTCGAAAGCGTGTGATCGGAAAGCCATCAGATAGTTGATGTATAAGAGTGTTTTAATACGCTTATGGTTCACTTTTTTAGCCGTCAACGAAGGTAAAAGACGCGATTTGACGTAATTTGATTCTCTATTAAAAAAAAAAATGAGAAAAGATTATATCGAGATTAGATTGATTACACTTATCTGTATAAGACATTAACAATTAATATCACATACGGATATGGCAAAAGTGCTATTCTATCTGTTTCGGTCTTCGCTAGGAGTAAGGCATGAATATCTATTGCGGCTAGTTCCGCTGGAGTAATGATGTTCTCCCAATTATAGATCTTAGAGGGATCTGTCGTTGTTTCATCATATGGAGGAATAATCCTGTCTTCCTTCTTCTGTTCCTCTGTTAAAACACAAGACGTGAACCGATTAAAAAATATTGAATATTAAATTATAAAGGCAAATCAACACCAACCATTGACAGGCTTGCTCTTGACTTTTTCTTCAACCCCTGCAGCAATTTTATCAAGATCGCGAACTTGTGATATGTCGATTTGTCCTCTCTCTCGCGCGGAAATTTTTGACCGAACTTTCTTGGAACCGAACTCTTTATCGAGAGCCGTCTTTGCTGTAAAATACTATTTAAATTGTATGTAAATAAATAAGCAAAATTATTAAATAAGAAAATGCGAAAGTGAATACAATTTAATATTTTACGTCTTGAATCGGTTTTGGTTCTTCTGGTTGTTCAGCTTTCAAACGTTTCGAAACAGGAACTAAATCTATTTCATTTACACATTGAAAGGTCAACGTATTCGAATATTTATTATAAATAGCAATGACATATCTTTTCAAGTTAGGGCCATAATATTTGTTATTAGTAAATATTATTAAATTTTAGAATTTTATTGAAAATACAATCGAAACGGACTTACTCGCTTGTTTTAAGATGCTCTTGTGGTTGAACGCTTGACTCGAACGAAATAACATCATCTTCTCCAACAATGATTTTGTGAGTATTAGATTTATCAGCCGTTCTTCCATACGCATTATATAAAATTTCCTTGGGTGCCTTTGAAATCCCAGTAAACGTTCCTATGAAAGAATTTAATTTTAATTAAGACGTTAAAAACATACATCAATTTATAATAATTAATATTAATCACCTAAAGAAGGAACTAGTTCACCAGACCTCTCTTTATTTTCTTCTAAAATAACATTAAGCTTTCGTTTTTTTCCTAAAAAAAATTGTTAAATACAATTTTATGAATGCATGCTGAATTAACAAGTACAAACTTATTGAAAATTACCATTATTTAGGGTTTTTATATTTCCTTCCCGAGGTTCAAAATGCATCGTTTTATTACCAGAAGCCTCCGAAGAATTGCTACCTCTGTTGGCTCTTTTGACTAGTCGGATTTCTCTACCAAATTTTGGACGATCGACAAAAGTTTCATCAGTAAGATCTATTATTGGCGCAGTATTTTCAATTTCTACGTCATCACCAGTCAAATCAATTGGCCCCGCGATAAGTTGTTTCTTTGGTAAGGCATTGCTTTTTTCGTTCTTATATTTTCTCTTGATCTTTTTCAAGAGCTGGACGATCCTCTCGTCCTCTTCATCGCTATCCACATATGATTCGGTATATGTGCATTCATTTCTCACTCGAGAACTTCTCACCTCCGTAATTTTAATCTTAAACATTTCTCGAGCACGTCGTGCTGCTTCTTTTGCAGCTCTCTGATAAATAACTCTAAGTATATTCGAATCAAACCTGAGCCTAAATTGTGGTTTCCTCTTATTTTTAGAGGTGTGACCTGGATTTCTTATCTTTGATACGTGATCTTTGACAATTTGTTTAATGGAAGGAGGCAAAAAGAATTCGTCAGAATGATCTGACATCTCTAAATACGTTTTTCTTCAGTAGGATTAAACTGGAACAAGGAATGTTTTGATCAAAAAATAATAAATTTTTTTTGATTTTTTACAACTTTGTAAAAAAACCAGGATGCGATTGGTCATCTAAATTAAGTGATCGACCAATCCATCTAAAATTATTTTTTTTCTTGATGTTTTTTTCTCGTTACTTTAGTTTTCATTTCCGTTCATTCTCAAACTTCACGGTTCCAGGTAAATGTCTATCTTCGATGATTACACGAGTAAAAACCATAGATCCGTCAACGATACAATTTTCTTCAGGCGATATTGAAGATCCACAAGTTCATTTTACGGATCCAATTACTTTATCGATTCTTAAAGAGGCAGCAAAATTGCTTTCTGAAGATCAAGTAATAGCCATGCCAACCGAAACAGTTTACGGCTTAGCCTCAAATGCTTTATCTCCCATTTCAATAAAAAAAATTTATTCGGTAAAAGATAGACCTTCAGATAATCCATTAATTGTACATGTTTCTTCATTAAAAATGTTAAGATCATTATTGCCACAAAAAGAAAATAATAATGTTGGTGAAATTCCATTGATTTATGAACAAATTATTAAAACCTTTTGGCCAGGTCCTTTAACTATTTTATTACCCAAATCTTTACTAATACCTTCAGAAGTAACTTGTAACCAATCAACGGTAGCAATGAGATTTCCTTCACATCCAATTACGAGAGCTTTAATATCGTTATGTGGATTCCCCTTAGCAGCGCCTTCAGCGAATGCTTCAGGAAGACCATCACCTACTTTAGCATCTCATGTATTAATGGATCTAAATGGTAAGATATCATTGATAATTGATGGAGGGCAATGTAATCACGGAGTTGAATCTACTGTTTTTGATGCAATAGGGCCTCAAGCACCGGTTATATTACGACCTGGTGGAATTACTTTTGAATCATTAAGAAGAATGCCAGGAATGGAAAATCTTAAAGTTTACAATAAAGATTTCGTTGATAAAAAACTTGAAATGGTTCCAACTACACCAGGAATGAAATATCGACATTATTCTCCTGATGCTCAAGTTATTTTAGTGGACGTCAACGATAAGCATAAATCCCGTGATATAATGAAAAGAGAAATAAGACAAATAGAAGAAAATGGCGAAAAAACTATTGGAATTCTAGCCACAAGAACTTCCTATATTACCTCAAATGAAGAGAATGAAAGAAAGAATGTGAAAATTATATCTAATGATGATCGTGTGCATTCGAATGTGAAATCAATATCGCAAGGAACAATTAGGATAATAGAATACACATTGGGTGATTCGACGCATCCCGAACAAATTGCAAAGGAATTATTTAAGGGTTTGAGATATTTGGATGAACGTAACGTAGATTGTATAATTGTCGAGGGGATCCCTGAGAAAAATGAAGGTTTAGCCATTATGAATAGGTTAAGAAAAGCGGCGTCGAAAATTATTGATGAATAATAACCTTTTCACCCAAAAAACAACCCTGAACAAATTTTATTCAAAAGATTAACGATAACATGTAGAAAAAAAAAAATTATCATTGTTACAAAAATCTAATAATTACAAGATTTAAAATAAACAAAGAAAAAAAAAGTTGTTACAGATATTAAGATTGTATCCTCTGAATTGACCTATATAATACATTCATAAATAAAATACATCCTTAAAGCGATTCCCAAAGTTAATCAACCTTAGCACTCAAACTCATCTCATCAATCAACGAACTTAGCTTATTGTCTATTTCTTCGTCTACTGAATCGTCTACAGTGTTCAAATGTTTTCCACATCTTAAATCAAATAAAGAAACTGGAGGAGAACTGTCGATAAAAAAATCTTGAGCTCGTTTCCTTCGCTCAGGAATCGAGGGAGAATTTGAAATAAGCTTTGATACTCTCCAAGCATACCATAGTGCTCCCAAAAACCATTCTACATCTTCCATTGTATAAGATGGGACTTCATCGGACTTTTTTGAAGAGGTAATAGATTTTACCCCATTCCAAACCGAAGGTCTTTTAACATCGCCTCCAATTTTTGCATCAACCTTTGCCCCAACCTGAATAATTATAATTAATCAACAATGTTTCTAAAGAATTGCACAATAAAATTCTGTTCGTACCAATTGTTGAGGTTCTAAGAATTCACTAAAACGTTGAGCGCGACTTGCGCGTCTTGCAGCTTCATCGGGATCTGTTGCAATTGAAGTATCCATTATAATACTAGAACTACGCGTCTCATTACCTTTCCAATTTTTATCTCCTAAAAGAATACAAGTATCAGTCAACTAAGATATAATTCGTTCCTCCTGATATAAATTATTAGAGGATCATAATTCTTACTTCTATCATGTCCTTTCTGTCCTCGGTTACCTCCAGCATTATTTTTTTGGTTGCGATTATTATACTTACGATTCATAATTATACCTTAATAATAAAATGCTGCAAGATTTGGACACCAATCAAAATGATATATGATACATGTAAATATATTTATGCTATTGTGTACCTGATTTACTAAGAAATGTAAAAATTCAACTTGTTCTCCAGTCAAAAAATTTTCCGCGCCGATAATTAAGTGGCGATAAATTATCTGTCAAATTTTCTTTTCTGAAAAACCAAAATGGATAGGAAAATAGGCAAGATTTTGATTGAACCTGGAACAGAAAATGAACCGTATGTATTTATCAGTTTCGTTATTCAACAGTATATCTTTTCTTCCTCAAAACTTAATCACAAATCATTGTTACTTGTTTAGTAAACAGACACCAACTGAAAGACTTGCAAAACAAGTAAAAAAGTTATGGGAGGAACGAGACTTTCGTAGTTTGACCATTGAATCATTGGAAAGGGGTCAAAATTTGGGAAAGAAAGAAGCAAAATCAGATGATAAGAAAGCCACTAATCTCGTTTTCATGAAGAATTCCATCGGGGCTGCTGTTGCGTGAATATTTTTTATTGTATAATCTTTATAGATTTTATTTAATTAAAAAAAAAATCCAAACATCAAAAGGATTACGAACAATACGTATTAATTTGGGCCCTAAATCCTATTTTAACAGAACATCACATAATGAATTTGGCATAGGAATTGATGTTTTGAATTTAATTTTATCCGATACTCGAGCAAACTTCGTACCGACAAATCCATTACCGATCCCGTCCGGTATGATACAAAATACTTATCATGCCTATTCCCAACCAAGTAAAGCAACACAAATTCAGAATGTCAAATTGATGTTGGGAATGAAACGCAGGGTATTTGATATTTTCATTTTATTTTCATTTTCGTTTAATTCAATTTTTCATTATTTAATCGTAATTTTTTAAAATAGCAACTTAAACATGCAGCTGGAATTATATCATCAGCGGCAGTTAAACTAAACAACATTGTTGAAAAAGAACGAACATTCTGGAATGAAGCAGTATCTTTACGTGAGCATCATTGGACTTTATGTCGTGGTAGTAAAGAAAAAAATACAGGCCTTCAGATTTTTGTTAACTATGGGTATCAGATGGGTAGGTATGTCTTATTACATATCAGAACGATTTTGTGTCGTATTTAATCTAATGTATAGCTCATTTGTTATGCTCTATTTAGGTGCATCTCGTCACGCGGAAAATACTCAAACAGCACAAATTTTGAGGTCACCAGACGAAAAACAAATTGCAATTTCACTGCCTCAAAAAGCAAAAAGATCAGTTAAATTGCGTTTACATAAAAGTTTTAAGGCTCCAGGTGGTGATAAACCGCATGTACAAGAAAATTCACGTACGAATGATTTATTTTTTATATTACAAAACTAAGAAATGAAAACTTTCATACTTACTAAGAATCGTTTTAGTACTTCATTTTGAATCCATCGAAGGTTCGAATATTCATCAACAACTTGTAACTGCACAAAAAGCTGTCTTTGAAGAAGGATTGTTTGATCAAGTATGTTTAACAATATAAAACATATGCGATCCAGTTTTATTTTATTCCGTCTTTAAAACAAGGCACATTGTTTTAAGAGTACAATTAATTAAATTAAATGTTCTTGATTTGTTCAATTATTTAGTTAGTTAAGGAAGCGCGCGTAATGACCAATGTAATACTTCTTGAGAATGAAATTCATCTTAATGTTTATCCTGGTGTAGATTTGACAATTCAATGGGTAAGTATTACAATTTAATTTAGGCTTATAATTGTATGATCATTTGTAAAAATTTCATTGATTTTACTAGGCTAATATTGACACAATACAAGAAGAGGCTCGGTCTACTGATGATGAATGGTCATCTGGTCTTCAGACAGATAATTTCGATAAGACAATCTCACCAAGATCCCCTACGTGCACTGTTTTAAAATTAGCCATGGATCTTTTAGTTAGGAGATACCATCGACGAAATTTTATATGGCAACAAGAACGTGTAATACAAGGAAATAGAGGAATATATAGAGATAGGTAAAATATCTTAATCCAAATTATTATTATACGCATAACATTTTACCTTTTTTTTTATTAATTGTCAATTTCATCAATTAAATAGTGGATACGGTCAAATCCTTACTCAACCTCTCCATCTACTTAAATATCATTTCTTTTGTATTCATTTACGAGAAATTTTGAATTCGACTATTAGGGCCTTAAGAGGCGGTGGTGTGCCAGTTCAAATTCATTTTATATCCAATCAATCTAAAGGCAAAGATTTGATAGAAGAAGTGTGGAAAAAGATTGGTAATGATAAACTATCATTATTCACGGGATCAGTTATTGTAATCATTGATTACAGGTAAATTCAATTCATCGAAATATTGATTTATAAATTTGATCTTAATTGTTTATTAATTCAAATGATTTATAGGCACAGCATTCGATTCACATTGGAATCGCCTGGATCATTGACTCTTCATTTACCACACGTTGATATTAATACTGGAGATTTGACGCAATTTCAAGATTTACTTGTTCGGGAAATCAAATTACTTTTATTAAAAATCATTCTTGAAAAATTAAATACCTTAACAGGACTTAAAGATCTTGTAACGAATGCCGGTAAATGGTACTTAGATTCACCAGCATTGATGATATATAAAGATGTACCTCCAGCGATTCCCCAATCAGCTTTTACAAAGGTGAAAAAGTCGTTTAATCCTGATGATTTATTGAAAGGTGAATTACCAGAACTTAATGAAGAAAATAAAACTGATAAATGGATACCCGAATATTGGAGACGTCCCGTGTATGTATTATAATGTTTTATGATTTTTTATATGAAATTTGGTGTTAAAATATTTTTTTTCTTTACATGATTTTATAGTAAAATTACTATTGATAATGGATATCCATCTCAAGATAAATTAACGATTAGAGTTGAAGCTGCTTTAGTAGATGTTAAACCAGAATTGATTATAGGTGCCAACGGTAAAAATATTCATAAAGAATTTGGTAAAATGGTCTATGAATTTTTAGTTAGTTTGTTGTGACCAATTAATCATTACATTATAGAAATCATCAGTTTATCATTACTATTCTTCTTTCTCTTATGATATTAAATATTTACAAATTGATATTATTATTATTTCAACTCCCTTATTTATGAGTCTATAGACATACAGATAAAATCTGTTGTGAATGTTTATTGATGTAAAAAAAATGCAAAGAATAAATATTGATGAAAAATTAAAAAAAAAAAAGGTGACAATTATTAAGGCGGCAATGTAATTAGAGCTTTGTCATTGATTGTTGTTCTTGGTGTTCTGGAAGCTTCGGTTGTCGTAGATGATGATGATACTGCTGATGTCTTTACATCTTGTGGTGGTGTATCAAAGAATAATTTACGAACTAATATAGCTTGTATTATTACAACAAACATTAATAGAAAATTAAGTAAAAAGGGAATTTCATGTGTTTGATGTTGTTCAGTTCGTTCGTTTGGTAAATTTGAATTCGAATTCGAATGGCTTCTATTATCGTTTCAACTGTCCTTTGGTTGAAATTTAATATAGTAATCTTTTGTCTTTAATTCATAAAGATCCTGAACACATTCCGGCAATTCATCAACAAATACTCCTAAATAAAAGAAACGCGAGCTACCGTTAGCATAAAATTTAAAATCTTTCCTTTTTTTTAAAAAAAAATATATATATATTATTTTATATACCAGGTGATCCTTCGTAGATTGAGAAAGAAGGTACAACGGTATTTGGTGGTATTACCGTGTTATCCTCAATTTTACAACAATCTTTTATAATCGCAAATCTACCAATAACACAATTCTTGCCAATATGCACGAATGAACCTATTGTTGCTGCTTCAACAATGCTTCCTTCTCCAATGGATACGTGATCTCCTATTTTCATAGGATAATAACTAAATGTCCTGCGTAATTTTTTATTTTTTTAATAAAAAAAAAATGGTTTGATTAATATTTGTAGGAAAGTTTCATTCCTTTAAATCAAAATAAATACCCTTTGTATGTTTTGTACGGAGGTCGAATAATGCTTCCTTTTGCTAAAAGACAATATCTACCAATAGCTACTACTACGGCATGACCACCTCCAGTACGTCTTAAATCTCCTCTAATAACACAATCGGTTTGAATAATAGTCTAGGTTTTTTTTTTTTAAAAAAACAAAAGAATCAATTAATCAAAAAAGAATTATAGAGTAAAAAATTACGAGTTTCACTTACTTTTCCACCCAATATAATATTTTGGCTTCCACAGATCACAGACTTACGACTAACTTTGTTGCCCGTATCCTAAATGATAAAATACCGTGTCGGTGAAAAATCAAAAACTGGTAATTCAAACCATTTACAAATGATGTACCGTTTCTATGTACTCGGAACGATGATAGTAAACGATTGGTGGCTCCATGACGATATAAGAAAAAAATTAAATAAAAAGAAAGGAAAAACCCCCTTAAAGATAAATTTGTAGCAAATTTATACTATTGATTGTGTAACACTAATTCGTAAGTTTCACATGCTTTTGTGTTTAACCTTTAAAACAGTATAATTCTGTTCAAAAGAAGTAAAGTATCAAAAAAAAAAAAATTTATATTTAAATATTGCTACAATTTTTTTTTATTATTTATTATTTTTCAAATAAAACAAAATATATTTTCAAACTAATCATCGAAATGTATGAATAGTTCATTCAAATTCTTCCTTTATTAAAAAATTATTTTGTCTTTGATTGTCAGAATAATCCATGCAAGCAGCATCCGATTCTGCAGTTACTCCCAACCACAGCAAAGTTGATTTGATGGGACCAGCGTCATAGAGTAAATTCATATCCTCCAGATTTAAGACTTGATTTGGAATTTCTTCAACGAAATTGACTTGATTTGGAACCTCATAATTATCAATACATTCTTGTTTTATATATTCTGAATCATCCGTATCATCCTCCGCATGATGCGAACCTCCCAAGTTTGAATTGATATCTTGATACGGCATCACGTAAATACCTTCTTGTTTTACAAAACCAGGAAAAGGTAAATTTGTGTCGATTTGATGATTATCCAGATTTGATGAATTGTCACTATTGAGAATTTCACCAAATCTTTCTTGCTTTTTATAGGTTGATGATGATGATTTCTCAAGGCTTTTCTTTGTTCGTGATTTTTGAGCCCACCTATTTTTTTACAATCACGATTCATATATATATATATATAAAATGAACAATCAATATGGTCTTACACTTTAAATTGTGAATTGATTATCTCCTCTAATTACTGATCATATAAAAGGCGCGCAAAAATTTTTCCGAGATACGCGCGATTTAGTAATTTTTTTTATTTTATTTTTTTTTTCTTTTGAGTTGATCATCTTACCTTTTCTTTGATTCTAATACTCTCAAACGCCTCTCCTCATCAGTTTTCGGCCTATTAGGATCATTATCCCACCTTGTACCTCGGGGAGGATTAATATTATGTTTTGTTTTGAGATGTCGTCGTAATATAGACCTTGCATTCTTCCCTCGATATACTTTATTGCAATATGTGCAAGTAAACTCCATTATTCTAATCTTCTTTTCTTGTCCCGTGACGTTCTCCTTGTTATCATATTCTATGGATTCGCTTATTTGCGTCTGTTGCTGCTGAAGGCTTGAGGTTTCTTGTGATTGAAAAAGTATTGGTATTGGTTGTATTAGTTGAACTGTATCCTCTTGTAAACTAGATTCTGGTGGTGGTAAAATTATGGTGGTATTCCATGGAAAAGTGTCTATAATTTGCTGTAATGACACGTGTGTAGTGAAACGAGGACCTTCTTCGGCGACATAATATTCGAGCGAACTATTTAGAAAATCTGACATGTTATCACTGATAATTTTTTTTTTTACTTTTTGGATAAGGTACGAAGCAAAATAAGAAAAAGCTATAGAATATATCTATTTCTATATATATATATAATTACAAAACAACTCGAGTACTTTATTATGTAATCCTGATTCGACGAATTGACGCGTATATTATGATAATCAACTTGTTTTTCTTATGCAGTGCTACATCAGAATGAAAATTCTTTACGTAAATATAAAAAATCCATTGTTTTCAAGTTGGTTACAAAAGGAAACATTGACTCGGAAGAATAGCATAAAAAATGTTAAAATGAAAAATTTCTCCAAATATTGACATGTAAACAAAAGGCTACTTAAATGTTTTTTTTTTGAAATTTTGCCAACAAATCAAAAAAAGATCATGACAAAGATGATCGAAAATAAGATGAATGATCAAAATGGTATTATGAAAATTTCTTTTTTTTCCTTCTTTTTTAATTTTAATTAAAAATTGGTTCAAATCTAATCCAGTTTTGGTATATTCTTGCGATTAGCGTCGCTATTTTATTATAATAATAATCATTCATAACTAGCGATATATATTAGAAAATTTCATTTGCTAATACAAAATACGCTTCTGAACGTCTTACCGTCGGGAATGCATGGAATTATTGTATGAAATTGACCGCGGAGAAAAATTGTTTATTCCCTTGGTTCTTCTATATATTATTTAAAGGAAAGGATAATAGTTACAATATATTTTTATATATAAATAACTATTTTGAACTTTTCGGAAAATTATAAGGGGTAAATCTCCTCCTTCCGCCCAAAGTTGACGGCGATGTAGGCGCCGATGAATTTCTTTCTATTTTCAATCTTTCTGTTGGTAATGAAGTAGATGATCTTGGGGATGAAGGTTGTGAAGAAGATTTTATTGGAGAATCTGTTGACGTATCTTTTTGTTTCATTTGAGCCAATTTTCTTTCCAAAGCTTGTATCTTTGAATCCGTACTTTTGAAATAAAATAAATTGCGAAAGAAGTCAATAATAAAAAATGGTTATTATCAATTATTTTGATATAAACTGACCTAGCATTAACCATTTTATGTGCTTTTAACAAAGAAATCGTCGTTGGCCTGTTAGTAACTGATGAAGGTCGTTTTTTGAATTGCCTACTGTCGTAATTCTCAGGTGCCTAATATAATAATTATATTAAATAATAAATAGGAAGAGAAAATCAAAAGATTATGACTTCATCTAAAATATATAATTACTGCATATGCAAAAGTCACTATCATGGATCGGTTCTTGATCAATTTTGAATGCATAGCTGTCATGGCTCTCAAGGCTTCCTAGGTGCCATTCAATATTTAAGAACACATAATTTTTGTGATTTCATAAACGCAATTAATACTTATCAATTATACTTAAAAGGAAATAGTTATATGAGAAAAGAAAAATAACATACCTCTTTTTTACTATATTCCAAGAAGCAATAACCCCTTGGCTGACCGCGTTTTGGTCCACTCTTATGAAAGAGATAGTCAAGATGAGTTATTTTTCCAAAAGGTTCAAATAACTTTACAACAGTATATCTACAAAATAAAAGATCAATAAGCATTTGATAATTATTAAATCATGATATCAAATCTAAAAGTACTTACTCATCGATAGAAGAATCTAAATTTCCAATATACAAACGTTTGTCGTCCAACTAAAAATAAGATCAAAATTTTTGTTTATAATTTGTAAAATAAATTTAAGTTTAGACAAGAGGATTTTGATTTTACCTTGTTAGAGGTAGAAAATTGTGATGACATTTTGTTTTTTGGTTTAAAATCTATCGAACTATCGAATGTTTGAGAAAGTAATCCAACATCATTTAAATTGTTTATGGCATAAATCACGTGATGATCAACAGGTGTTTATTCATGGGAAATTTTTTTTTTTAATCATATCAAAAAATTTTGTATTTTTAAGATATGAAAAATTATAAAAGCAAACGTTCTAATGATAAATTTTCGAGCCAATTTGTTCCTGCTGAAGCGACCGAAGCATTAATTTCAGAAAAATTAAGCAAAAAAGCTGCAAAACGTTATAGAAAGCGTGAAAAAAGGCAAAATGAAAGAATTAATAGCGCCCCGGAACAGAAGTGGCGCAAGATATCGTTATCAAATCCACCACAAATAATACCTGCTAATAAAGAAGAGGATATTATAGAAGCGATGCCATCCGATAATAAAAAAAAGCGTAAACGAAAAAATGCGATTCAAGTAGATAATTCTAATAATAATAATAATGATTTTGTTGATATTAATTCACTTGAATGGTCTGAAGTAGCCTATCCGGAATCAATTTTTATGGGAGATGATTTAGGAGGTTTTTTATGTTTAGAGGAAATAGATTATGTTGATGTTGAATATGAAAATAATGAAGAGACCCAAGGAAAGACGATTAAATTTAAGGTTAGTAATTTTATCAATGCTTAGTATCTCAATATTTATAAATTATTATTGAATTATATCTATTTTCAACAGAGAGTCAAACGTGATAAGAAATCTTCAAGTGCTAAAATTAAAAATTCATGCGCTAAACCAGAAGAACCATTAACAAAAGAAGAGTCATCCAATTATTATGACTTGGATACATTTGATAAAAATCTTTTATTAGGAAATAAAGAGATGGATGAATCTTCGCAATCCGAAGAAGATGTAATATTACATGATAGTTCTGATAATAATGGAGACCAAAATGATGAGAGTGATAAAGATGAAAATGATGAATCCAGCATTAATAATTCACAATCTAATAGCGAGGATGAAATGGATATTGATTCAGAAATAGAAGATCGGAATTTGAATAATCAGAGTACAAGCACGAATAATAATAAACCGACCGAGAAGGGAACGGGTCAGAATGCAATTGAGGGTATGGATTCGACAAATTTGATATTCGAAATATTAACATTAAAATAATAATACTCATTTTAAAATACAGAAGAAATTAATCTTTCTGCATGGAATCAGTTCAATCTTTCTTCTACCATCATGAATGGGTTGAAAGCACTCAAATTTGATAAACCTACACCTATTCAAGAAAAGACTCTCCTTTTTAGTATGTCTGGACGTGACGTTGTTGGTGCAGCTGAAACTGGTTCTGGAAAAACGCTTGCTTTTGGAATTCCTATATTAGAATACATAATTAATCGAAATATAAAAGAATCCGAGAATCAACTTGCAGGGCTTATTTTGACGCCTACAAGAGAATTGGCTATGCAAGTCAGAGACCACCTTCAAAATATTAGCAAAACTTCTTTAATTAAGGTATAAATTACGGTTATTTTTACGGGATTGTTTCAATAGTTTTATAATATCGTTTGCCATTTATTAAAGATAATGGTGATCGTTGGAGGAATGTCTGTTCAGAAACAACAGCGATTGTTGTCAAAGCATCCGAATATTATCGTCGCTACGCCAGGACGTTTGTGGGAGTTATTCTCTGAAGTAAGTAATAGGGAGAGATTCTTGCATTATTTAAATATTTATGTTCTTACGTATTAAATATGTGAAATTATTATGTACAGAATGATGCGTATCTTGATAGCTTGCGACGCATAAAATTCTTGGTATTGGATGAGGCAGATAGGATGCTCGAACCCAACCATTTCGAAGAGTTAAATCATATTTTAACTGTTCTATCGAGAACTAGAATGTAAAAGCAAATTGATTTTCAGTTTTTAATTGATTGTTTAAATTCCATAATATTAATGGAATGATTTGATAGTAACACTAATGAGTGGGCCGAAGGTGACATGAAAAAAAAGGAGGACTGCATGAATGGTAATTTCTTTTGTTTAAAATTCCTATTTATATTCTGATATTTATATTAATTTTCTTTTATCAGACCTTCCTCCTCGTCAGACTTTTGTATTTTCTGCTACGCTTGATAGCAAGTTAAAAGAAGACCTGAAGCGAAAGAAATCATACAAGAGAAATAAAGATTCTATAGGGACAATGAGTAAATATTTATTTATAATTGTAATAGTTTTTTGATTGGTCATTCTAATATCTTTATTCTAATTATCAATTAACTTTAATCAAGCTGAATTAATGCATCGGCTCGAATTTAGCGATCCTGATCCGGTTTTTTTGGATATTACACCGGAAGAAGCAGTTGCCGAAAAATTACAAGAATCAAAAATTGATTGTCTGACCAAAGAGAAAGTGGGTATTATCTGTGATATTTATTATATATATATATATATATTCCCTAAATATTTAGCTTTTTAAATATTATAATTTTTAGGATTTATACACGTATTATTTTATTACGCGATATCCTGGACGGACTCTTATTTTTGTTAACAGTATTACTGCCATTCGGCGTCTTACACCAATCATGAAATTATTAAATATTGAAGTTTTTGGTCTTCACGCACAAATGCAACAAAGACAGCGGTTAAAGAATTTGGATAGGTAAATATATAATATATGGAGAACACAGATTAGCTTAATTTTACGTATTGAACTAATTATCAAGGCTGCAATTTTCAGATTTAAGCAGAACCCTAAAGCTGTTATGATAGCAAGTGACGTCGCGGCTCGTGGTTTAGATATCCCATTGGTTGAGCATGTCATACACTATCAGCTACCGCGTTCTAGTGATGTATGATTTTTTTTTATTTAAAATATTAATTATCTTAAAAATATTATTTTGTATAGCTAATAAATTCATTGTGCAATTGATTTTTTAGATATATGTTCACCGAAGTGGTCGTACAGCCCGTGCAAGAAAAGAAGGTATAAGTTTGATACTGTGTAGCCCCGAAGAACTGAGCTTATATCGGAAGTTATGCTTGAAATTAAAAAAAAGTGAGATATAAGACATTCGATTAATGCTGTGTTTAATATTCAGTAATTAATGCTTACTTTCTTTTTTCCTCTTTTTTAGCTGACGGCTTGACAAATTTTCCTGTTGATAGAGGCATATTAAATTCAATGAAACAGAGAATAGAATTTGCAGGGCAAATTGATCAAGAGGAACACAAATTGCAAAAGGTACGAAATATTTAACTCTTTTAAGAAATTATTATTTAAAATAAAATATTAAGTTTTTTTTTTAATATTATAGATGAACTATGATAATGATTGGATTAAAAAAGCTGCTCAAGAATTTGAAGTTGATTTAGATGATAAGTAGGTTCCGTAATTTTATTCAATAAATAATGCGACTGGTTAAAATTTTAACGGTTTCTTTTTTTATAGTGTTAATGATTCTAATAAAGGAAATCAAAGACAAACTAAGGAAAGAATTCGATCATTGAAGTTCGAATTAAATTCATTATTATCTCAACCATTGGTCCCGCGAGGAACATCTACAAAATATCTTACAAGCGGGATCGTACGTGATTTAGCAGACAGATTGTTGGATGAATCTTCGCGTAAGTATAATTAATTATCTGATATCGAACTATAGTGATTATGGAAATTATGTTAACGATTATATTTTCATTTAAATAGATAATTCGATGATATTAGGTGTCAAAAATACAAAAGCAACTGATGATTTACAATCGAAGAAATCAAAAAAAAAAAAGTTGCAACTAATATAAAAATTTATTAATTTTATTGAGTTATATAGGTCGAAAAAAAAAAAAAAAAAAAAAAAACGAGATCAAGATTAATAAACGTTCGTCTCTAATGTATTTATTTACTAAATATAGTGCCTTCCAAATAAACTCTCTTTTATCATGACATGATTTTTTTGTAACCATTTTTATTATTAAATCTTTAATCCAATATGACTCATATCGTTAGTGATCTGAGTATGAAGTTGAACTTTTCACAAACTTCCTCTGTCAATGGCTTCAAATATAACTTTATTTTCCTGTTCTAAAATCCAAAATTCTATTCTTAAAATTCTTCGTTTCAATAACGTTGAGGCGCAGCGACAATTAACTGCTTCGCCAATCAACGTTAAGACAAATCTTCTATTTCTATTCGTTGAGGGATTGGAGTTTCCCGTCTTTGCACCATTTACTGTAAATGGTAAAGATAAAGATACATTGTTGCGGTTTATACCGATTTATAACGAGATTATGCTAAAAGGAAGCAGGTTCATTTTTTTGCCCGTCTTCCCTACATAGGAAGAAATTCATATGATTGGCTAATTTGACGACTCAAATTTTGAGCCAACATGTAATAATTGACCAATTAAATTTAAATAACAATTTGAATAGCATGAACGCGTTTTTTATTTATTACATATTATTTCATATTTTATTTTTTAGGCTTATTTATTATTTTTTTTAATTAGATAGACCATCATATATATACATAAAATATAAATATACATGATAATTTCGATTATAAGCTAATTACTGTTGAAGAAATCGCCGTATCACAGTGTCCCAGGAATCTGACATATTATCAACAGATTCTTTATCATTATGATCATCATCAGGAATGTCGGGTTCTTCATGTTCAGCTTCATTATTCGAATTAAGCCAATGTAAGCGATCCAAAAGTGAATGTACATGTTCATCAACACCAGAATTTATATAATCCAGGCAATGTAAGCACTTGAACCCGTCTTGACTAAAGCATATATTGTGATATGCGTGACCACATGATAATACCCGACCTGTATTTTCAGTGATTAAAATGTTAGTAATAAAACAATTAGAAGAATCACAACCAAACAAACTAGGCTTATAAAGAGAACTATAGCCTAGAGATAAATGACAGAGCCGTGCATCCTCCATCTTCATTGCTGAAATAGAAAAACTGTTTTTGGTGTCAGTTTTTCTTTTTTTTGATAAGCTTTGCGTAGCAACCTGTTGTGGAATTAAAAATGGCATCTTTTCATTGTTAATACGAGTGTAAATGTCCGAAAAGCAATCTAGAAGAAAACACGCAGTTTTTCGTGTCAAGACTGTAATATCCCGTGAAGAATACTGGTATACCGCCCAAGTTGAAGTATGAACAAAATTTTCTTTGAATCCATCTTCACTTAATCGTAAATAATTAATGTACCGTGCTTCCTTTATTATTTGATTTGCTGTAAGATGCTTTTCTGTACTACGTCGCAAAAGACTGAAAGATTTCAACGGGAGAATCGGAGAATTTTGGCAATTCTGCCTTCATTGTCTTTAGGATTGAATGATCTTTTGATTGCCAATAGAAAATATCTGATAAAAAAATTAAAGGTGCTTTAGTATAGTTTCTACAGCTAAATTTAAGAAAAACAGTCCAAACCCGAAACATGATTCAATGTAAGAGTTAAAATCGCCAGCACAAAAGAATAAAGCATAAATGTCCAGGACCAACGGAATAATGTTGTCTAATAGATCCTTAAGTGCAATATATTCTGCATCCTTGCATATACGACCAAATTTTACTTCAACTATTGCCGCGATTTCTTGCCATGCACTACGTGAGAGTTCTAATAATAAGTTTATACGTCATGGCTTTGGCTTTTGAGCAAGCGGTTTTCATTCACCAAAGATGTATTTGTACATTGCAGAAAAAAATGGCTGGTATTGGAGAAAGATCAATTCACAGCTATTTAGCGAGATGTGCAAAGGACCCATTATTGGAAGGAAAGATAAAATTTTTTCTGTAACTCCAGAAGGTTACCATAAACAAGATACCGTGATATAGCAGTTCTCAAGAATATTTGACCAGGCCAATCAGCCACGACCGGAATAATATTGCCTTCTTTGATGTACTTATTCATTGTAAGGATAGAAGTGACAGCATTAGTTGCATTAATGTAAGTTTCTACCGAATGGAGATCGTTCTGCACAAGATCCGCAAGCACTACATCTTTCATTGATCTAGTATTTCTTTTTTCCTTTAAACAAACATCATAACTATGGACAGTTAGCTCTTTAAGCTTTGTTTTATCATCTACAAAACGGAATCCCCAGCGCTGGTTATGAGGGAATGAATACAATGACATAAAATTGTTATCAATGACGATTTTGATCAATGAAGCATCAACCAATGCAGGATTATGAACGTCTTGCTTTAATATTGACGGCTCATTCTTTATTGGATTAAGTAAAACAGTAGCAAGATGTATTGCAGTTGATGTCGTGACTGTATTAGGCATTCTTTTAGTATGGATGCTGTAGTAATTGTCAATATTTAAAATCATTGCATTATTGGCGCTTTTTGAAAGCCTTAATTCTATAGTCGTTGAATGTTTTTGAGATACAGCATTCTTGTGATAAGAAATTATGCAAGATGTCATTGTCAAACCCAATATTGCCAAGGTATCTATTGTTGAATTTGATATTCCGGTAGAATCTAAATACATCCCAAGATCTCATTTTGCATTGTTAACAAATTTATTTCTAATACCACAAAGATAATAACATAAAAATACTAATTATCCTGATACCTTTTCCATTGTATCTTTGTTTTTTGTCGATGGATTAGTTGATATGTACAATTTATCAAAGAAATGCTTTAACTGCTTATCATTTGATTCTATAAGCGTACGAGATTCTTTAAAGGTCCAAACTGGTGATAGTAATTGATGCTCCCTTTCGTAAAAAATGCTTGTAATTATTCCTATAGCCTATGAAAATGATAAAATATTATTGTTAGAAATTTCTGGCTCAGACTCAGGCTCATTATGAAGCTGTTTTAGTGCATGTTGTTGAAATCAGAAGAAAAATTAATAAGGATTGCATTATAACATTGTAAACATATAACATCATTTTCTTTAATATAAAAAGAAAGTGTTTTGTTAGCTTTTCCACGAGATACCACCATATCAGTAACAGTTCGCCATGTTACAGAATTTCTTTTGCAAATTTTTATAACGCACGGTCCTTCGAGTTTCTTTGCTTTACCCATAAAGTCACTATTAAGCTAACACTCCTTAAATAAGAGATTATTAGAGATTAATTTTAACAATAACATTCTAACACTCTAATAAAGCTATGTGTACAAAAAAAAAATTTTCTTACATGTGTGAAACCTTATTTTTCGAAAAGTACTCTAAACTGTATAAATAATGTGGCTATTAAATAGGAATGTGATAGCCAATCATGTGATCTTCTTCCTATGTACTACAACTTGACATTTCCTATTATTACTATAGGTAGTATAAGGATTATCAGAAAAATCTAAACATTAAATTTGAGAAAAATCAAATGTTTTTTCTTTTTTTTGTTGGTTTCATTTTCTTTAAATCAACGTCCGGGATTGCATTTTTAGGCACCTTAGGTGTTACAGTTAGATTGCGAATAAATCTACTCAAAAGAGTATGAGTGCAAAAATCTCGTAGATAGCAGGTGTATAGATAGAGAAATATTTTATTAGCTATATAGATATTTTATGTAAATGTGAGAAAGCAAAAAAATAACTTGATGCTAGGACTTGCATTAAATAAAGTTTCGCATATCAGATTTATTATATTTTTAAGTCATATCACATATTGGTTAATCCAATATATAATAAATATTCACAATAATAATTGATAATCATTTCTTATAGATAATTGATATTCAGTATAAAGAATCTCATACTTCTGGCTTACAAAACGCGTCCTTATAATAAAAATTTAATCAGATTTAAGACACGTTTATATAGATTAATAAGTTAATCTTAAACTATATATAAATCTATTAGAAAACTGTTTTTCTTTTTAAAGCCTTCTTTCTCTATTACTTTTTTTTTTTCTCAACTCATAAAATAAAAAAAAATGTCTTTTATCTTTAATAATATTGACAAGCTTCCTTTTATTAGTGAAGAAAAAACTGAGCTATGCATTTTTTTTATGAGCAAAAATGTAACAAAAGTAGATTCAACAATAACAAAAGATGAGGAGAAAGTTGAATTCTTGAGAAAGTACAAAAGAGTGTACAAATCAACAGTTTCTTATCCAGTAATTAACTTTGCCTTTTTTGGTCTCCTAATCCAATTTAGATGAACATCCAGGTAAGCCTTTGCATCGTAATGATTGGTCAACTCAAATGTGACTCGTAACGTTGAATCATATTTAAAAATTGATCTTTTTTGCTTTAGTTCAAACTAGTTTCAAAGTAAAAATTGCCGACGCATTTTCCAAGGGTATGTAACAATGAATACTGATTAAGTTTCCATTTATTACTCTGCTAGGACTGCCTTATAAAAAACTGACTTACCAAATAGATAAATTCTTATACAATTCTTTGAAAAATAAATCAATTTTAAATATCTAATTCAAATTAAATTGAATCAAATTAATGTTTAATTTGAATTTGATCAAATTAAATCAAAAATTAATTTGAATTTGATCAAATAGGTAGTATTCTATTAAAATTGAGGTACAGATCATATGATTTACTATGTCTCGTAACCCACTTTTAATAGATCAGCTCCCAAATGGTTCAATCTTTGATTTGAATTTAATTGAATTTTAATTAGTTATAATTTAAATTTGATCAAATTGAATCAATGATTAATTTAAATTTGAATTTGATTTGATTTGATTTTCAAATTAAATATTCAAATATCAAATCAAATTGCGAAACCTATTCAATACAATACTTTAGCCCAATATTGTCATAGGACATTTTTAGGACATAACCTGAAACATTGAGACTTAATGTGAAACATTTTGGGACATAGTGTGGAACAGTCTCAAAATGTTTGGGACATCAAAAATGTACATCACTGCTTTAGCCTCCTGTCATTAACTACTCTGTATTACTTTTATTTCTTGTAAAGCTTTAATTTCCTATAAATTTTTTTATAATTTTTATTATTTGAAATATAATAAAGAACAATTGTTATCACAAAAATTATCAATAATATTTGTTGTATAATTGCTTTTATTATGTGAAAAAAAATTGTGAAAATATTTAAAGAATAACTTTGTTAAAAATTGAGAAAAATAATTAAAAAGATTATATATATATATATATATAAAATAAACAAAAATTAACAAAATCTTGTGATAAAAAAAATCTGGTGATATTATTAAAAATAAATAAAAATATAATTAATAATATGATTATCTACATCTAGATTTAAAAAATCACATAAACTTGATATTGAACTAAACACTAAAAAATTTATTACATGAAAAATTGATATCATAATTTATTAATTTGTTTAATTTAATTAATTTTTTATAGCTATAAAATTTTTTTGTATATAATTAAATATGTTATAATAATTTAGTAATTAACATAATTATATAAAAAATAAAAATAAAATTAAAATTAAAATAATAAAATAAAAAAAATATATAAGATAATTAAATGTCTTGATTATTCCTAAAAAATGCTTATATTTTTGATATTTCAAATGACATTTATTATATATAAGTTCTTTTTGTATTGAGTTTAAATATAAATGTATAAAATAAATATGTATTTTAATAAACAAATAAAGAATTTAAGATGAATGAATTATTATCTTTCAGAAGTCAGAATTCACTTCTTATTAGTTTATAAAATTGAATGTCATATCTATTTGAAGACATGACATTTCTTATTCTTTTCACTTCTCTTGTATCTCTATTTATAATTCTTTTGATATTATTATATCTTCTTATTAATAAATGCCATTTATTTTGGCATTGTCTTGCAGTTATTTGAATGTTATTTATTCTATTAATATAGATTGCAATTCTTTCCCATAAATTAATATAGTTAGAATTTTTTGCATATTCAAAATAATTTTGGTATTAAGCTCTTAAAAAACAAATCATTTATATGTATATTTACAAAATCATTATATTGAAATATTTTAAAATGCATTTATACATGTGATAAAAAAAACATAGTTTATAATTTCATAATTCTACAAATAATAATTGCTTCTGTATTATTATATATTGATTGAACTTGAACTTAAATCATATTTATATGATGATATATATCATTTAATCAAAAATAATAAATTTCTATATTTGATAATAAATTTATTAGTCTAAGCATAACAAAAGAAATTTAAGTGATCAAATTCCTGCGTAATTATATATTGATTAAATTTTAATCATATTTAATATAATTATATACAGTCAACCCTTGATATAACGAATTTTATGTCCTGAACTTCAACTTCGTTATAGAGTTATAGTGAACTTTTTAAAGAATTTGATTGGCTAGTTCGTTATAACGAGGGTAAATTTAATATAGTTGTCCAAAAAATTCGTTATATTAAAATTCGCTATAGAGAGGTATAACTGTATATTGTTTAATTGATAATAATAAATTTCTATATCTGATAATAAATTTTTATTAGTATGAAGTGAAAGACTATGTACTTTTATTATAAATTAATATATTAAAGATATTTGTAATATATTTGTACATGTGATGAAAAAAATATAGTTTTGGTTTTATATAATTAATTTTACATGTAAAAATTGCTCCTGTAGAAAATTTGAAAATAATTATGAAAATATTGTAATATATTAATTGGACTTAAATGTATTTAATACAATAATATATATTATTTGATCAATAATAATAAATTTCTATATCTGGTAATAAATTTATTAGTCAAGATGTAGCGTAAGGAATTTGAGTAAACAAATTCCTGCATAATTATATATTAGTTAGACTTTAATTGTGTTTAATATAAGTATATATATCATTTAATCAATAATAATAAAATTTTATATTGGTAATAAATTTATTAATCTGAAAAACAAGTATAATTAATAATATATATTATTTCAATACCTTTTCTTAATATATTTAATTGATTTATACAGTAGTTGATATATTATCAATTTAATTAAATGTAATCAAAAAAAAATAATAATTAAAAATATATCATTTCAAATGTCTTGATTTATTATCATTTTAATTAATTTGATCAAAAAAAAAATTAATAATATTCATAAACAAGATTCAAATTATAAACATAAGGAAAAATTAATATAATAAAAAAACTTAAATAATAAAGGTATTATTTGAAAATGTATAAATATACATAATTTGATTGATTTGATTCAATAAATTTGTTTAACAAAAAAATGGTTAGAATTATTTGAACTTTTGACGTAACTAAAGCTTTAATAAATCTTCACCATAAATCAAGTAATGAATTTGAATATGCTTTTAATATGAGTATGCTGCTATCTAGGATAGAATAGCAAAAGAAATTAATAATAATAATCCAATTCAAGTTACTAGCAGACAGTAAGTAAAATTTAACGTGCTAATTCGCAGTTATGAAAATTGTCAAAGAATTAGAATTAAAAATCTAGAAGAATTTTTAATAAGAAATCTAAATCAATTTGATGTTGAATTTACTAAATAATAAGTAAGGAATTTTGGTTACCTCAAGGTATTAATGATAGTTTAATTTAAATTTATTGTTTGTTTTAAATAAATAAATATTTATAGTTATTAATTTATTAATTTATTTTTAAATGAAATATAACATGCATATTTGAGACAATAAATAGATAAATAGTGATTTAAATTTAGAGAACAAAGGCATTCTCAAAATCAATCAAGAAATAAAAGTAGAAAATGCAGGCATTCTCAAGATTAATTAAGAAGGAAAGGTAAAAAACACAGACATTCTCAAGATTGATCATGAAGTAGAGATCAATCTCAAGGAAAGAATAAAAGGAAGAGAATTAAAATTTTTTTATTTTTTTATTTTTTAGTTTTAATATTTAATATTTTTATTTTATTTTATATATATCTTTAAATTTGAGTAGTGAGACCCAGTTTGTATCAAATATCGACTGAAGACTCATGACTATAAATTGGTACTGAAGTTCTTGTTATATAACCTGAATGCTATTTTTTAAAAAATAGTAGCAAATAAGTACTAGCTTTAAAAATAAAAAAATAAATTATAAAATATATGTCATTAAATTATTTGTTGATTTGTTTAATGATAATACTTATTATTAAATGTTAATATATTGAAATATATTTGAATATTAACTTTTATAGAAAAAATTCCTGATTTTCATCTTAAATTTTGCTTATTTTCTAATGATTTATTCTTATTACTAAATAAGAAAATTTATATAAAAAAAAATACAAAATTGTTTGATTACGTAAAATTTTTATTTTATTTTTTATTTTATATTTATATTTATCTCATGTGAAATAATAACATTTGACAATATATATTAAATTTTATTGAAGAAAAAAGAAATACATAAAAAAAAGAAAGATTTTTTAAATTATTAGCATATAATAAATTAAAAACATGCTAATAATTACTCTAGAGTTGCTTTACTAAATGATTTAACTCTTAAATTTAAATGAGATCTTCTTGATAACCTTTTTTTTAGAATATACACAATTCTTCTTTAAGCTGATAATATGATCTTTGAAGATGATGTAATCCATTTTTTGATGAGTTGAAAGAGAAAAAGTTTAGTTAATTCTTGCTATAAATGATTACATTTAAAAGAAAGCTTAGCAATTTAATTTAAAAAAGAAGAAAGTTGTTCTCTTAATGATGAATTCTTCTGATATAAACTCTCTTTCCATCAAAGATTTACAGTCTGAATAGAGAAATAGCTGAATATTAGAATTATGAAGTTAAGCATTTTATTATGATCAGCATGTATTAGTTCACTAAAAGATTAGTTTGATGATCAATATTTCATAAAATTACATATCAATACAGGCTAACAGAGGCTATAATAACTAGTTCTAAGCAAATAAAAATTTACATTATAAGAATTTACAGTATGATATAAGGAAAGAAGCAAAAGTGTTAATATACTACAGTCAAACTAACTAAGCTCAAACAAACTGTTACAGTCCACACCAACTGATAACACAGATGCATATATTCTTAACTCAGATTAATTCAGTGTTAAAAAATCAAATAATTTTAGATAGTTTAGATAGGTTCTGAACACAATTTCATATTTCCAAAATCTTATTCAAAATTAAAAAATGTATTCAAAACCTATTATTAGGCTAACCTATGCAAGTATGCAATTTGTATAGTCATATTTTCTGGATCTAACACTATTCTTAGGCTCATTTATTTTACCTTAAACTCTTTCACTTCTAAGTTTTCTATAATATTTTGAAGCTCTATGTTGTCTAGTAAAATATTTCTTTTTGTCAGTATGAGTTATAATAAAAAATTTTAAGAATTTAAAAATTGACAATAATTTTTATGATAAAGAAAAATTTTAAAAAGAAAAGAAATTCAAAAAAAGAATTTTTATATTTGAGAAATCAATGAGAAAATTTTAAATGTTATAAAAAAATTTTTTTTTTATAGAAAAATAAACAAAGAACTATTAGTATCTATTGGTTGATAATAATCATCAAACAATAATATGAAAAGTTTGCTAGAAAAATAGGACTCTGAGTATTTTTATTAAAATTTTAATAAAAAATGCTCAGAATTCCATTTTCCTAGCAAACCTTCTATATGATAAATCTTGTTTATAGATAGATCAATAAATATGATGATCAAAATAGAAAGAAATATAATAAATCTTAAAATTATTAAAATTCAAAATACAAGAAAAAAATTTTTTGGTTTGAATATTATTATTTTTATTTTTTTTTTATTTTACATAAAGTTTATATATTATTTTAAATTCTATAATAATTTCAATTTTTTTAAAAAATAAATATATTTTAAATATGTGAAAATTTTCTAAATATAATGATCAAAATAAATCTATTAATATAATAAATCTTTAGAATTATCACAAATATAATATTCAAATTCAATTATTTTTGTGACTATTTTACATGATATATTTAACATTTATGTAATTAATAGACTATGAAGTAATTTATTATTTTTATTTATTTTTTCATTTTATTATAATTATTTTAAATTTTTTTTACATTTAAAATAAAATTAGAAAATATTTTATAATATTTTTACATTAGTTAAAGTATATTTTATTTAATATTAAAAAAAAATTTAAATAGATAATTTAAAAAAAACTATTGATAAGATCTATAAGAAATAGAAAATTAGCATTTGAAAATGAAAATGAAAATTTAAAGTCAAGTTTATATATCTTCTTTTGATAATCTTTAAAGAGATAAAAAGGATGATAATCAATCAAAAGGTTATCAAGGTTATTGATTTTCTTTAATATTTTCTTAAATTTAGAATTAACTTGATTTTGAAACCTAAAAAAAGTATTGGAGTGAATAAATAAGTTGATAGCAAACTAGTTAGTTATAAAACTAAATATGCCTACAGCTAGGATTGGAAAATTTGTATATACTAGATAAAATTAATACTATACTTATACTGTACTTGTACTAATTTTTATATTAATTATTATAATATACTAATTGTACTAATTGTACTAATCATTATACTAATATTGTACTTTCTAATCTTACTTACAGTTATTTGAGTTACTGCTAATATGCAAAATTAAAGTAAAAATACATATCAGTATTATAATATATCATTCATATTACGTGAAAATACACGTCATTTGGTAAATATGTTACCATAAATATTAAAATCATATATTATTATAAAGTAAACTAGATATCTAGAATAAATATACTTCTTTTTATAATATTTTATTCTTTTTTCTTTGATAAACGTTTTTAGACTGGTGAGAATTAACGCATATCATCTTTTAAAGAATATTGAATCAACTGCATGTTTGTAAGAAATTTTTTGTGTTTTAGAAGGAAAACAAATCTTCTGCATCAAATGAGAGAAAAATTTCTTCAACTAGAAATATCTCATTGTCAAGAATGTATTATGTCAGTGAAATTGGATCTAACAAAACTGTTGCCAATTAAAATTCAAGAGGTCAACTGATAATACTTGTTTCATTAAGTATGATATTTTCTCAAATAAAATACCCTCTTAAAATTGTTACTGTATTATATGTGCTAGATTGCTAATAACTTCTTATATAATTTTTGGATAAATTTGCACTGTAATTTATTAATAAACTTCTAACTAATGACTAAATTTTGTACAAAGCATTAAAGCTGACTAAAGGTGGAATCACAAAGATTACATTGTTATGGTAAGGTTGATGATAATCATCAAACAAGAAGAAATATTCAAGCTCAATTTGGTATCTGCATATTCAAAGTATAAGAAAAAAAATTTTGATTTGCATAATCTATTTATCAAAGATTTTTTCTCATAATATTGTTATTTTTGATATTTTTTATTTTATGTAAAATTTATATGTTATTTTAAATTCCTTAATAATTCTGTATACATTAGTTTTTTAAAAAATTATAAAAAAATAATCATTATAAACATACGGAATTTTGATACGGAATCATTACAAACCTTATAAAAAACGTCATTTCCTTATTTAGATTTCTTATAGGTCTTATAGGCAGGGTTGGGAATTTTGTATGTACTAGATAAAATTAACATTGTACTGTACTTGTACTAAAGATAATATGAAAAATCTCACACATGTCTGCTTATTTAATAGAAGTCAGAATTGTGCGTCAATATGCTAATAACTGGCGCAGTGTGTATAAAATTATTGACAAGGTATTATGTGAGCAAAAATTCATCATTTTCGATGCCTCACAAGAATCCACATAGGATACCTTTTCAGCCATTTCTCTACAACATACATATAATTAACTTCAAAGCAAATTTAACGACAATATACCAATATTAAGGGTTAATCCTACACGTAAAAAACTTTTGAAAGGAACCAATATTGACAGAAAGATTTCTCTTTATAGGTCAAAAGGTCATAGAAAAACCTCACATATTAAATAAAATATTTAAGGAAGTGAGATATTTTTTGTCTTTCGAAAGTTTATGTTATATTTTTATTGTATTATAGAAAAAGTAATATTTTTTTTTGAAATTTTGTCCTTTTCAAACTGTAAAAGTCAGCTAATTTATTAATACAGGAATTTTTAATTAGTGTTGGAAATGTCCAGTGACTGTTATATCGGTTTATACAAATTGAAAGCAAAAAGAAATAATTCACAAAATAATTTTCTAGGAAACATGGCTACCTTATCAGATATATTATCGTGAAATGGTTTATTTCTCGAATATGTATAGAGACTTTAATTATAAATGCTATCATAGATAGTATTTTTACTTTGCAAGTTTACGAATGTCAATTTTATATTATTTCAAAAAATTATTTAAATTAATTTTTATCCTTTTTAAAAAAATGTAATTTCGAGATATTATTCATAGGCATATACAAACTTAACTTGATTAATAATGGTCGTAATAAAATTAACGAATAAAAGAGCTTATTAATTCAACACCTCGTAACAAATTTGAAGTATATAATAGCGATTTACTACGGATCTAACTAGTTTGTGTCATATGGCGTCATTATTTCTGCAACAATTACGTCATATTGCTTGCCATTTATTCCAAAACTTGCCCAATTGCATATTAAACATTTTAATGGTGTAAACTGATCAAAGACATACTCAATTTATATATTCAAAAAATTGTGCCAAAGATAAAGGTTAATTAATACGATTCTTTTCCAGAATTTCATTTTAATCAATATTTAGAAAGACGTCAATATACATGTATATGCTCGAACAAACAAAAAATTATTTAATATTTGACCTCAAAATTTTCAAAAAAAATTATTGGTTTAAAAATTTGGCCAATCTTATTGAATGATGGATTACAAATAAAATCCCTTTGAATTGAATTTTAGGATATAATTTAACCATAATAGTAAAAAACTATCTTCTTTCTACTTACTCTTCTTTCTGTATAAATTTATCAAATTTTCCATTACACGACGCAAAAAAACAAAAAAAAAACATGATAGATTCATTTCTTTTAATTTTTTTAATTACATCCTTAATAATCTATCTTACCTATAAAGTTTTTATTTATCCGCTTTACCTTTCACCATTATGTAAAATTCCAGGTCCACCACCAGATAATTTTCTTCTTGGTAATCTGATTCAGATAATTAAATCAGAAGTAGGAATTCCACACATTGCATGGGCGGAAAAGTATGGTGGTGTGGTAATGTATAGAGGATTATTTAATAAACAGAGAATATTCATAACAGATGCTAATGCTCTTCAACATGTTATGATGACTTCTGTTTATGATTATCCTAAACCACCTGGTTTTATCAAAGATTTAAAGCCTTTGTTGGGAAGTGGAATACTATTAGCTGATGGTGATGTACATAAAAGACAACGTAAAATGATGAATCCTGCTTTCAACTTTACTAATATTAAGGTAGGAATAAGGAATGAATCTAGAAAGCTAATCAATTAAATGAGAGTTAAAAATTTCCTTTTTTTTTCGGATTTTCGTTAGGAAATGATGCCAACTTTTTCTAAAATTGTTCATATAATGAAAGATTTATGGATAAAAGAAATTGGCGATAATGAAAAAGTACAAATCGATATCATGCCTTATTTATCAAAGGCAACATTGGATGTCATAGGTTTAGTTGGTAAATGGACATATTTCATTAAAAACAAATTTTTTCGCATCTCATCAAAAAATCGAATTTATTCACGTGCGTGCTTTCCTTGTAATAAATAGGGTTTGATTTTGAATTCAATTCTCTTACTTCCGAGAATGAATTAGCAAAAGCTTACACGATGGTATTCATTCCCGAAAATCGCCTTAGTGTATTGCCCCGTATCTTATCAAATTATATTCCTTTAATTGACAGACTTCCAACAGAATTTAATATTCGTAAAAGAGAAGCATCACGTATCATTGATCAAGTTTCTACTAAACTTGTTACAGAAAAGTTAGAAAAAGCAAAGCTAGGAGAATTGGAAGGAAATGATTTATTGACAATCTTAATTAAACAAAATGAACAAACCACTATAAAAGAAGATAAAATGACTAAACATGAAATTAAAAATCAAATAATGACTTTCTTGGCTGCTGGTCATGAGACTACTAGTGTTGCTGTTGCATGGGCCTTACATTTTCTTTCGCAAGATATTGATGTACAAAGTGTCCTTAGAAATGAATTATTAAAAGCTTTTCCGGATAAAGATTTTATCCCTACCTTTGATCAAATAAATTCTTTGGAATACTTGAATTGTGTTGTTAAAGAAACTCTGAGAGTAAATCCTGCAGGTAAATTGTCTTAAAATGAAGGGGAGGAGGGTAAATGAAAGTAATTCATATAAATTCTTGCTTTGTTAGTTCCAATGACTGTACGTACATCGAAAAATGATGATGTCATCAATGGATACAAAATTCCCAAGGTAAAAATAAATCACACTCTTAAAGAATTTTTTTTCTCTTAGACACAAATTCATCACTCTTTATCTATCATAGGGCACACCAATATTTATTTTTGTAAACACAATTCACAGACTCCCTTCAATATGGGGTTCAGACGCGTCCGTATTTAAACCTTCACGTTGGTTAGATCCTAACCTCGCATCAATTCAAACAAATTATACTTACATTCCGTTCTTAACGGGTCCTCGTTCTTGTATTGGTAATAAATTAGCTTTAAGTGAATTTAAGGTCATGTTGGCAATTTTAATAAGAAGTTTCAAATTTACAAAAATTGAGGGTTTCGAAGTGAAAAGCAAATTAGCAATTTCTCTTAGACCCGATCCTACTATTAAGCTTTGGGTTGAACAAGTGAATTAAAAGGAATGGAATGCTGTGTTATATAAAAAGAAATGGGATTGAATGAAAATTGTTTTAAATATAAATAATATACATCTTTTTTTTAAAATTAAAATTTCCGTTTTTTTTTTTTTTTTTATACAAATGTGCCAAACGCATTAAAATGACATAAAAAATTATTCATGCTTTGCTTTCTTTTTTGAGGAACTGCCTTCATCATCCCCATATTTTTGTTCCATTATTTTGCTAATCTTTTGCCAATCTCTATCCAATTTTTGTTTCTCTGATAAATCTTTACCACTTCTACGTGTCTTACGTCCATCCGTTTTTTTGACTCCAAATTGGAATGCCGATTTAGGCATTGCCGTAACATTATCCTAAAAGTTAAGTATTCAGCCTTGACAGTTAATGACAACGTAAACAAATAATAAGAATTGGGCCCGCAGACATATAGCATACCTTGTATGATAACCATTCTTCTTCTGTATCAAAATCCCATCGTGATAATTGTGCCTTTTTATTCTTTGCAACGCCTTGATCTCTTATGGTGTGCACTTCTCCTTCAGAATCAGAATCCTCATGTCCAGAATCGTATGCATTTGTCCTTGTACCTCCACTACCTAAACTACTTAAACCAAGCCCATATGTAGAATAAGTTCCTTCATAACCATCGTAATCATACAACCTCTTCTTATTTATTTCGCTCTTCACCGAGAATTTGTTATTATCCGACGTTTCAGAACTCTTTACAGTGTCCTCAATCTGATTTATTCCACTGGCAGAGGCTACTTTATTTATTAAAGTCTTTAAATCTTCATTTCTCGGTTCCTCAACATCAATATCCATAGCGTCATTATCCGCATGTGATGCTTTAAAGTAACTCTTTGGAGTATCTACCTCAACTGACTGAGATGGTGGACGCATAGGTCCAATCATTGGTATATCCTCTTCTTTCTTATTCTCTTCTACAGATGGTTCATCAGGAATTGCTGTATAGTCTCTTCCAGCTTCTTCGAATATATCTTCAGAATCATCAATAGCTGCATATTTTACCGGAGCAACTACTTCGGGCTGTTTTTCTTTGACCTTTTTCTTTAATTTTTTATCCTTTATCTCTGTACTTCCATCATGATCACCTTTCCGTACATAAGCCATAACTCTGGATATCCTATCTATAACAAAATCATTTGTAGATTTATCGGTTCTAGAAATATCTGCGATATCCGCTTTACTTCTTATGACAGTCGTTGAAATAGCAAATGGATCACCATAAAATCCATTCTCATCAGCTAATTCAAATACATAAGCCATACGGCCAGCAACAAACAGTTCATTAATCCTTGGAGGCTTCTTCTTTGCATTGACCACAGCAATATCATAAATATTCTGTGCTATCTTGCTATTTATTTTTGGTACTTCTCGAGATTCTTCTTTAATTCTTTCTAGTACATGTTCTAATTCTTCGTCATTTTGATCATCACCTTTTTGTATCTCATTACGAACTTTATTAAGTAATGCAAAATCGAGACCTTTGACTAAATGTGTATATTCAGTATCACCACCAAGATATTTTGATTGTTCATAAACTAACTTTGCTTCTAATGTTTCGCTATTGTTTAAAGCTTTAAGAATTTGTTCTGTTTCTTGATAATCAGGATTCGCTCCTGTACGACGTTCAGCAGCTCGATCACGATACTTATTATCAGAAGACTTTTCTTCTGAAGTTTCGGGTCTCTTATATCTATCACAATAGAAAAAAATAAGAGCGTAAGTAAAGATTGTTATATAAAACGAAATTAAAAAAAAATTAATGATTTTCGAGATTAACTTTTTCTTTGGTTTGGAAGCTGGTGCTTCAGGTTTGGCAAATGTTCCGGATCCACCGGGCTTTCTACAAGAGTAAAATCAATTAATTTGAATAAGAATAAATCTGAAAATGTAAAACGCTTTAAGAATGACTTACGGAGTTTGCGGCACTCTTTGTCTTGGAGTTGCCATTCCTAGGATTCCCTTAGACGGTGCATCTCCCGGTCGAGGCGTTTGCAACAATTTTCGAAAATCATCTTGTTTCAATCTGTTTTAGAACAAATTTTGTTCAGAAAAACTGTACTATTTGGAATTATCTGGTGAAAATTTAAGACTATAAGAAAACTTAGATACCCTTTTTGTTTATTTTCTTCAGACATTTTCTTAACTGTTTCACTACGAGTAATGCGCTTTTTGTATAAAAAAATTAATGTCACGTGGAAAATATAAACATGTGATGATTAGATGATTATCAATGTTATCAATAAAAAAAAATTTCAACCATCTACGGTATATACAACTCAAAATGTATTTGATAAAGAATAACCACATTCAGTAATATCATTAGTTTTGATAATTTTTAATTCTATAAATGATTTCATATATCTTAATAACATTCTCTCAAATTCTAATGCAGTTTTCAATTCTAGTTCTTTGGTGTACCCGTCACGAAATTCTCTTCGGTGGCATCATTCATTTTATTATCGTAATTATTCAATTATGTCACGAGCGCGAAGATTAGCGGGATTGCCACCACCTAATGATGATTCGATAATAATAAAATCAAACAATAAGCGCTCATCAATTTCACCTTCATCAAAATCGATACAACCTATTAAAAAGATAATTGTACCGAAAAATCTAAAATCTTCAAGAAAATTATCTAGGTTTGAGTCTAGAATACAACCTACATCAAACGTTGCATTGAACAAGAAATCACAGCAAGGGATAAAAGAGATGGATTTCGATAAAGGGGGTGAAGGTGGCGTAAAATTTAGTGATGATAAGTCAGATATGGACAATTCGATGAACGTTGATGATGTAAAAAAAGAATCGAATACAATTGAACAATCAACTTCAACATCAACCTTACCAAAAGTGAAATCACAAAAGCAAATTTTCCAAATTCCAATTAAATCGGCAAGTAAGTTCGCTTGAGTTATTTTAAACAATTCGTTTCTAAATGTTGATTAAGATCTAAAAATTGATTATTATTATTGTTTTGTTGTTGTTGTTATTTGCTTATATTATTGTTATTATTTTGAATAGGCATTGAAACTAGACTACCAAAATTTCACAAGGAACGGTTTGAACAACCGGAAAATCCATATTTATTAAAGGTTGTAGTCTTGGGAACTCCAAATTCGGGAAAATCTACAATGTTAAATGCATTATTTGGTGAAACAATGTCAGTAGTTTCGAATAAAGCGCATACAACGAGAGAAAGAATTTCTGTAGTATTTACCGAAGAGAATAAGCAATTAGTAAGTTAACGAATACCGTATAAGTAAAGAAATCGTTAGATGATCATTCTAATCGATTATTTAAGTTAGGTATTTATCGATACACCTGGAATTGTGCCAGGACATAATCGTCCAAAATTGAACCGCGGGTTGATTAATGCATCATGGCATTCAATACATGAAGCTGATCATGGTAAATAATATTTTGAATAAAATTAAATCAAAAATATTTTTATAGAATGTTTTTGTCAACAACTTCTTTTAATTAAGTGTTGGTAATAATCGACGCATTCAGAGCGTTATATCGTACTACTTACGCAGAAAGTTGGTTATTGGATAGGTTATTAAAAGAATATAAATTACCAGGAACGTTGGTATTGAATAAGGTAAATCAATCAAAGTAATACTTCTAACTTTCATAATATGAAAATTTTATTTATTTATCCTGTTACTACTTGGACAGATTGATTTGTTATCCAATGAAAAGGAATCGATACCATATATTTATAAAAAATTCACGTCACAATATCCTTATTTTAAAGATAAAACGAGCATAAGTGCGTTGAAACGAACAGGAATAACAAATTTGAAGGTAAAGCATTAAGAATTTTTTATTGGCCGTAGCTTTCTTTTTTACGAAAATTATACAAATACAAAAAAAACCTTTTGTGTGCACAATGAATGATTATGAAGGAAATATTATTATCCAACGCGCACCCTCATGATTGGATTTGTCCACCAGAACAAAGGATTGATATGGCAGATATGAAACGCGTTGAAGATTTCATTAGAGCAGAAATTTTTGAAAGATTACGTGATAATTTACCTTATGCTGTGAGACAGGTGAGATGAGAAAAAATTTGCATTAAAGAAAATAATCCAATTGGAGCAATGTGAGATTCACAAATATATATTTTTCTTTATGAATAGGAAAATGTTGGATGGACCGATTTACCCAATAATATATTAAGGATAGATCAAAATATTTATACCGACTATCCGTCTCAACAGGTGACAAATATATATATATATATATTCTTTTTTATTAAGAAATTCTATTGTATTAAAAAAAAAATATAATTTTTTTTTTTTGATAGAAAATATTAATAGGGGCAAATGGTACAGTAATAAAAACTATTGGAGTAAGAGCTGCAACAAAATTATCGGCGGTATTTGGTAAGACTGTTAGGTTGTACTTGACAGTTAAATCCAAGAAGTTGGAAAAGAATAAAACGAGATATTAAATTAATAATGTATGTATAAAAATTTAAAGTCATTTAATTATAAAACGCGTTCTCTAATTTAAATCAAAAAGAGAAAGGATTAGTAATCAATTATTGTTATAAAGTTAGACTATGCTAAATTTGTGAGTTCTTTTTGACTTTGCAAAGAATGAAATTTACATGAAAATAAAGAACATAATATAAATTCGTTGAACATTAATTTTAGCAATATAAAATATTTAATAACTTAACACGTATATAACAAATTATATTAAAAAAAAAAAAAAAAAATCATGGCCAGATAACCGTGCCTTTCCTAAAGAGAATATTAGGATCATATTTTCTTTTCAATTCTTTTAACCTTTCTAAATTTTCACCATAAAACTTTTTTAATTTCTCTCCTTTATATTCCATTCCTTCAATAAAATTTTCAAAATTCATGTAAACGGTTTCATCACCATCACCATCCAAGTTAATAATTTCTTGCAAATTTTTAGCCCAATCATAAACGATCTGATCATCATCTTCATTGATCCATCGTTGTGATATCACGACGTTATATAAAGGTTTACGATGAGCGAATGCGGTAGCTTTAGAAGGGATTGAAGCAAATTTATCATAAGAATAAAATTCAAACATTATAGCTGATCTGCCAATTGTTGGATTTTCATTAGTGAATTTCACGTAAGAATCATAAGCTTTGCAAACTGTTGAATAAGTTAAAATTGAAATGTGAGCATCACGAAGTGCTTTACGATCCCCGAACGTTGCATTCGCATTTGCTAATGTATTCATCTTTGGATAAGGTATGCATTCTACTAATTCCTTAACATATTCACCATATTTATAAATTGTTGAGAACCTTTCCCGAAAGACTTTTTCAGATGGGTCATTAGAGTATAACAAAAGCATTAAAACAGGCTTATTTAAAAAGGTGGGGTGAGAAAAAAAGAGGAATGAAACGCGTCAGAAATCAAAAAATTTGGAGATCATTTTCTCAAGTTAAAAATTATCATACCTGAAACTCTGGAGGAGGTCTATTAAAAATAATGGTAATAGTACGATCAGGTCCAGAATTTTCTTTAAGCAATTCATTAACAGCATCTACAATTAATTTTAACTTTTCGCTAGGGTATACTAATATACCAAAGCAAACCTCTTTTTGCTCATATGCTTTATAAATAAATTCATAAACTACTCCAAAGTTTGGACCCCCTCCTCGAATTGCCCAAAACAAATCCTCATTTACGGTTTCCGATAATTCCTTTACTTGTCCATCCGCAGTAACAATCGTTGCACCCATCACATTATCAACCGTTAACCCATGTCGACCCGTCAAATAACCGAACCCACCTCCTCACCAATACCAGTATGTTCAACCGTACCCCCAACCGTAGCCAATCCATATTTCCAGGCTTCTCTATCAACTTCACCAAAAACGGCTCCTCCTTGAGCATAAATGAATTTCTTTTCGACGTCAACCCTTACTTTATTTAATTTCCTCATATTTAACACGACTCCTCCCTCGGAGCTTGAACTACCGGATGTTGAATGACCACCTCCACAAACGGCAAAATCCAAATTATATTGACCGACAAATTTAACGGTTTTGACAATGTCATCAAGACAAGTTGCTTGAACGACGATTCCTGCCCTTTTTATCGCATGATCGGATCATCTTATTAAACTTTCTTCGTATCCCTCGTCTCCTTCCATCAACACCTCGGTGACTTCTGCATTGAATAACCCTTTGAATTTTTGAACTTCTGCAGGATCAATATCTTTCAACAATTTTTGAGGTTGATAGATCATATTAAAGAATTTTTAACGCGTAATGGATTTAATTAATTTAAAAAATTTTTTTTTTATGAGCAAAATCTTTTGAGGTTGGACTCGAACAATGCATTTTTATAATTAATTCGATCGTATAAAATTTTTTATTATTTGAATGAGAATCAAGTTCGTCCTACATCATTTATCCTCAATTGGAAGTACTTATTCCTACAAAAGGTTCTACTTTTGAGGAAGGTGAACGGTTTCAGCGTGTGAAAAAACAAAATTATGTGCAGGACTCTGATCATTGCATTCCGCAGAAAAAATAACAGTCGCAGCGAATTTCTAAGGATCTTCTTGTAAGTTCCCACATAATCATACTTATCTTTTAACAAAATATCGACTTATTATATTACCGCAGATTATTTACCTTCTTATTATCGAACATTAGATAAATTTCTTTTTTCATGTACTATTTTTATTGAATCAATAAAGATTTAATCTAATGAGTTTTAAAAAGTAACCTTGCAATAAAATTTGTAAAGTCATGGTGAATTAAATTACACCATATAAAATAAATAATCAATTCCATCAACATGAGATCCTACCACATGACTTACACCTTTGAAAATACCATTAATCACATATGCTAATGCTGTATATACCATCCCTTTGCATTACGTTCTGAAGTTGTTGAATAATCGCAAAAATTATTAAAATTTTATTAATCTATTTTTATTTATTTATTTATTTTTCTGATTATTTTTTTTTTAAAAAAAAAGAAGATACAATGTATCTTGTAAGTGATAATGTCAATTTTATGGTGATTTGATTACATCAATGATTGTAAAAAATTTGTACCATTAATTGAGAATAATTATGTCACTTGATTTTTTTCAGAAAAAGGAATTAATAATTGTAATTTGTTTCATGTCGTATTGAACATTACTTTTCATGTTCGCGAGAATTGCGATTTTATTCATATCAAATTTTGTCCCATCCGTTATTTTTTTTACACCTTCAATGGTTGCACAAATAGACCCATCTACGGATCCAACAAATGATACCCTTATCACAAATGTTGAAAAGATGAGAGAGGAAAATGATGATGATCAGGATAATGTCCATTTCGCTGATGATAATAAGACTTACATTTTTAACAAAGATGAAAATTTACAAGGTATGGAATTGAGTCCAGAAGTTTCACCGATAAATGATGAAAATAACCATAATGATGAAATTTTATTTTTGAAATTGTTACCAGAAAAATTTACAAAACGTACAGAGGTAAAATTGCCTTATCTGATTGAATTACACAACATAATTCATGAGATTAAGGAAAGAACCAAAAGATATGGAGGTGGGGTTGATAATGAAGAAATAGACGGTATGAAATTATCTTTGAAGTTCTGTGAGGATTTTATCAAACTTCGTTCACTTAGCCGCAAAGTTTGCCAAGAGAAGGCCCTAATGAAGTTGGCAAATCATGAAGCAAAACAATTTTTGGAACAAAAAAAGCTGGAACTGCTTCAAATTTTAGAGCAGAAAATCCAATTGCAAATGAAAAAAGATAAGCAAAGTCAAAATAAAAAAGAAGAGAATGAATTAATCAATGAATTAAATGACAAACTAAAGAAAAGGTCAGAAATGGAAGAAAGGATTAATAAAAAACAGTCAAGTATTCGACAAATTGAAAGTATGATTTCCAAATACGTTAAAGATATTGAAGTTTTACAAGAAAGTTTGTGATTGCAATTATTGCGCCAAACAAAATCTCTACTAGATAATTTAAATGAATTTGCAAATATCTGATTTGGCGAAAACTTTTCATAATAAATAAAACACAAAACCAAAATTAAGCAAATTTATCATTTATTTTTTTCAAATTAATTCGGGAATTTAAGGGTAAAATTTGACTCGAGTTAAAAGCGAGATAGGATAAGGGGAAACAAAAAAATAAAAATACAAATAAAAATGTACTGTATATATATATGTGCGCGATTTTAACTTATCTTTTGGGCATAGACCCTACGAAAAGTCATTTCAGGGGATGTACATTCTAGTTCATTATAAATATCCTTTAACAACACATGATATTGCTCCCTGGTTAATTCTAATTGTTCACAAATCTCATTGACAAATAAATTGCCTGAATTTTCATCATCAAACCACGCAAGCAAGTCTTTTGATATCATACCTAATTTTCCTCCATTTTTACCTATAATTATCGCTCTATCTTCAACTTTGATATTTTTAATATTCGATATCTTGGTTACTATTTCTGGTAATTTTAATCCTATGAACTTTTCTACCCCATATAATGCTGATACCAAGTCAACTAATGAAGGAATAAATCAATTTTCTTTTTAAGCATTTAATTTTTTTTTATACGATTTTTTTAAAAAGATGAAGAATGATTTTACTTACGTCCATGTAAAATATAACACAATTTTTCTCCCACATCTTTGTAAATAAAGGTTTCACCAACTTCAATGTAACCATTTGGTTTTGATACTCTTACCATTTCGTTTAGAACAATCTCTGTTTTCGTTGATTTTGTTGAACATAACACTGACTCTAAATGCACGAGGTCAAATTCATTATCAGGGAATGGTAACTTTTGTAATATATCTGCAATCTTAAATTCCAAATTTTTAGGTTTTATCTATTTCAAAGGGCAATAAATAAAATAGGTAAATAATAAAATGATATTTACTTATTTAGAAACATTTCTTTACCTCATTTGGAAATATTGGTTCAATATCGACTCCGATAAATTTACTATTAGGATATTGCACTGCAAGATCTAATAATAAAGTAGCGGGTCCGCAACTGTTTTATTTGAAAAAGAATCATAACCTTCTTGTTAAATAAATGATTATTTTTTTTAAATAAATAAATATATATATATATATATACAAACCCAAGATCCAAGACCTTACAACCTGAAATTAATTTTTCTTTAATAGGAGAAGAAACTTCGCATTGAAATAAATGTTTTTTTAGGAAATGGTGGTTATGTTGTCTATGAACATTATTCTTGTTATTATAATTATCAATATCACATATTTTAATCTCTTTTATTTCATCACATGTATTGCTAATTGCAGATTTGACAGAAAAATGATTTTGGTTCTCCTTGATCGATTTAGATCTTTGTGTTGACTTATTATTTCCCATATTATTGATGTATTATTAGGAAAAAAAAAAAAGGAGCTTTAAAAGAAAATTCATGATATATAAAAACGTGCAATTATGTTATGTTTATTCAGTGTTTTTAGATTCGGATCAAAAAAAAACATCGGAAAAAAATTATTAATATTTATCCTTTTATGTAACTCAAATTACAATTGATGCATGATTATTTGAAAACATCATCTTTTAACAAAGAACTACAAATAAACAAACTAATATAACTTTGGGGATAGTCTTCTTTTGTTCCAACATATCAGGCTTGGGAATGATTGGCAAACATTCGGGTAAATCAGAAAAGAGACATATTTGTATGATAAATTATAAATTTAAATTTCAAACCAAATGTTATCTCGTGTGTAATGATTTATATGTATAAAGTATTACAAATAAATAATTGTTCGCGCTCTTATCTATTGCCTCTAGCTTTTTTTTCGTTAGTTTATTTCGATGGAACTCGAACAATCTATTGCTTGATATTTCCAGCATGTCAACTATCGAAAAAAAATTTACTATTGATATCCAGATTTCTGGATTAAACCAATGAATAATTACCTAACCTCGTATGTCTAATAAGATGATCGCCCAAAATATAAAAAATAAAAAATTTTTGTTACGAATAAAATTATAAAATTTATTGCCTCAAATGTTAGCCTTTTTTTTGCACAAAAATTCTACGTAAAGTCATTTCAGGACAAGTGAAATTTAATTCATTAAAAGCATCTACAACTAATTGATCATATTGCTCTTTCGTTAAATTTAATTGTCTACAAATATCAACAACAAATAATTCACTTGAATTATTAAACCACGTAAGTATGTCTTGCATTATTACGCCCAACTTTCCACCATTTTTGCCTACGACTACCAACTTATCATTAACAGAGCTCTTGTGAATATTTGATTTTGCGGCTAACATTTGAGACAACTTTAACGCTACTTTTATGTCCGCTTTATGCAATTTCGATACCAATCCGACTTATTAAAATAAAGAAAGCAAGTTAGATTTTATTTTTCAAAAAAAAAAAAAAAAAAATAGTGAGTATTTTTTGATAAAAAGTCATTACTTACATCCGTGTAAAAGGTGACCGAATTTTTCCCCTATGCCTTTAGATTGGTTGTTGAAGATGGATTCACAAATCTCAATATACCCGTTTGGTTTGGTTATTCTTATCATTTCGTTTATAAGAAAATCTATTTTTTCCGATGGGAGTAAAAATAATACGGCTTCTGTATGCACAAAATCAAATTCATTATCGAGAAATGGCAGTCTTTGGAGGATATCTACTATCTTAAATTTCAAATTTTTAGGTTTGATCTATTTAGAATTAAGGGGATATAAAAGGTTAACATCATCTTGCAGCATATATATATATGTAATTTAAAAAGATTTTGTTCATTATTACCTCACTTGGAAAGAGTGGTTCGATGTCAACTCCCAAGAACTTACTATCTGGATATTGTACAGCAAGGTCTAATAAAAAGGTAGCAGGTCCGCATCTACCGTATTACAAAAAAATAATAAAGTTAATAAATAAACTTATTTATACGGAATAATTTTTGTTAAAAAAAAAAAATACACACCCAAGATCCAAGACCTTACAACCTGTAATTAACTTTTCTTTAATAGGAGAAGATATCCCACATTGAAATAAATGTTTTTTCAAAAAGTAAAGATCATGTTGTCGATGAATATTATTATCATTATTAAAATAATATTTGAAATCTTTTGTTTCGGTGGATTTTTCATTTGTTTCGATTACATTTGCAGTTGTTAATTGCTTATTGGTATCGAGTAATTTTGATGCTTGATAACGTTGTGATGACACCTTATTTCCCATATTGCTTGTTAAAAAAGAATCGAAATTTAAATATCGCGTTGAAGGGGGAAAAAAAGAGATTATATAAAGTATTGAAGATTGTACAATACCGATTAAGTTAATAAACCGGATCAGGGATAATCATAAAGCAAAAAGAGAGAGAAAGAAAGTTTTGGAACCAATGGAAAAAAAATAATGCCTTTTTACTATAACAAGATACGAACAGTAAATTATATATGGAAATTTTCTGTAAATAAAGTTTTTAAATTCAAACTTTCATTTTATTAGTAAATTTAAGAAAGAAGTATTTTGAGATAACAACATATTGATTCGAATTAATCTTTCAAATTCTTTTTGATTATGCAGTATTATTTTTTTTCGTGTAATGATGTTCTTTCTATTAAAATTCTCAAATTCATTAGGTAAGATGATTTCATTATACGCCATCGTTACACTAAAATATTGTTATACCGTTTATGTAATTTTAAAAGAACAGTCGATCATTGCCAAGATAATCGTTATTAAAATTAAAACCGGCTAAATTGATATTATTTAACTGTTTCGAAAGGTTATTAACATGATTATTAAGTAGAATTTTTCGGAGTTTTAATTTTATTTAAAAAAAAGGAAAAAAAAAAAAGCTAAATACAAATGCGGATTGCTTAATTGTTCTTTATTTGATCATATCCATCAGAGCTGGGGTTATCTAATTTAGGAGTAATTGAGTTATTTATCCTAACTGACAAAACTAAAGAAAGAATTATAACCTAAAAATAACATAAACTAGTAATATTTGGGTGATACATATTAACTAACAACCTGATTTTTGGACGTAAATCCTGCGAAAAATCATTTCAGAAAAAGTAACATTTAATTCATTAAAAGCATCCACTATTAATTGATCGTACTGCTCCTTCGTTAAATTTAATTGCTTGCAAATATCATTAACAAAAAATTCACTTGAATTTTTAAACCAAGTGAGTATATCATGCATTATTACGCCTACTTTTCCGCCATTCTTGCCTACAATTATAGTTTGATCCTCGAGATTTATATTTTTAATATTCGGTATCATGCTTAACATCTTGGGTAAATTTAACGCTATATGCATATCTGTTTCATATAGATTTGATACCAATTCGACTAATAAAATTAATGAAAATAAATAAATATATATATATATTTGTTATTCTTTATACTAGATTATTATTATTATTATTTTTTAAAAAAATACTTACATCCATGTAAAAGTTTTCCAAATTTTTCACCTATGCCTCTAGATTTTTGATTGTAAATGGATTCACAAAATTCAATATAACCATTTGGTTTACATATTCTTATCATTTCACTAATAATGAAATTTACATGGACTGACGGAATAGTGAATAATGTTGATTCAATATGTACAAGGTCAAATGCATTATCAGGAAATGGTAGTCCTTGAATAATATCTACTAACTTAAATTCCAAATTTTTAGGCTTGATCTATTAGATTAAAAGGGAGACATAAGAGGATATATCATCTTTATAAATATCCAACCCTTTTTTTTATTATTATTAAAAGAACATTGTTTATTAATTAATACCTCACTTGGAAAAGTTGTTTCAATATCAACACCGAAGAATCTACTATTTGGATGCTGTGCAGAAAGATCTAACAAAAAAGTAGAAGGTCCGCACCTAACGTGAGAAAAAGGTAATAAAAATTTAGTACAACGTTATTTTATCATTTTCATTATCATTACTTTTTTTTAAAAAAAAATAAAAATACTCACCCAAGGTCTATAATTTTACAATCTTTTCCTTTAATTAACTCATCCTGAATAGGACAAGAAATTTCGCATTGAAATAAATGTTTTTTTAAAAAATGATGATCATGTTGTCTGTGAATATTATTATCGTTATTGAAATAATGGTGGAAACTTTCTATTTTGTTATAATCGGTTCCAATTATCTCTTCTGCTACATTTTCAATAGAAATAGTAGGCACATTAGATGGTTTGATATTTCTCTTAACCAATCGAGATATTAGACGCCTTTGCGATGTCATTTTATTCCCCATGATCTTTTTTTTTTTTTAACATTTCAAAACAAATGGTAGAATCGGAATATATATGCTAAAACTAAAACACAAGGCTTTTGTTTATACTTTACAATATAGTATTTTTGGTAACACCGCATCGATTGTTTACGTTTCTTATCATTTAGGCTTACATGTTATAAATCACAATTTATAACGTTTGGATAGTAAAAAGAAAACTGGCTTTGTTTGCTTGCATTCTTCTAATATAAGTGATGTTCATCTAATATTAGAGTCGTTCTAAGATTAGCAGTCCCACATTCCGCATTTCACGAATAAGGTTGAAGGTACCGTCTCATTAGGTTGAAAAAAAAATTTTTTTTATATATACTCTAGTAGAAAATAATATATTCGACTTGAATTACCCCAACGTGCGTATGAAACATAAAACATAAAAATGATTTTAATTTTGGCGACAAATAAAATGTCGATCGTACCATGTGGACCCTGAAATAGCTCATCTTATCGACTGTTTTTCTGCAATAATGTCAAGCGGAAGTTGAATTTTCAACCGTGAATGATGGATGAGTCCAGAATCATGTATTTAATCTACTTGATTGTTCAAGTTAAATTTTTCATAATGCAATAGTTAATCATTCTTTGCATTTTCTCGAAAATAGATTTAGATGTATCATACATTCGATGAATATTAGAGAGCAAGAACGTTTTACGAAGTAAAAAAATCCAATTTAATTTAAGCCAAGTAATTGGCTGTGTAATTATTGTCAGAAGAGTATATACAGTATAACAGTATATATTAATTTGAATTATGGAAAGGATCCCGCATCAAAAAAGTACTAACCACAAAATTGAATTTTTTTTCATGAAAATAATTTTTTTTTTTTTGGACAATCTCTAAATATGGAAGAAATGATCCTTGATTGGGTTGCTAATTATTCAATTATTCGTCTTTCATCTCAAAAAAAATCTGGTCTACGGAATGCGTAGTAGAATATTATATGGGGCCTTTGCAATAGAAATGGAGGAAACTGCCGGCAGTTTCCCCCTTTCTATTGCAAAGGCCCCATATCATGAATCGACCCTAATCAGAATTGAGGTAAGAAATATTTCTCAAGAAGACTTTTCTATCAATAAAATAAAGGATAAAAAAGCATTCGATTATATATTAGAGAAAAATAAATTGTACTAACATTCTTTTATTTTGTTTTTATAGGAACCTCTTTATTTATTTGATATTCGCAACTTTTTCCTTTAATACTTAGATATATGGTGTTTGTCGAACTTGTATGGCGCAATTACATTCCCCCAATATGAAGGGTGTAATGCTTGGAGAGTTTGCTCAAGCTAAATTATTTAATTGTGTTTTAGTGCTACAAAATAAGTCGGAAGACATTTATAAATTACGTTTTAAAATTTTTTCTTCTTGACTCTTTTAAATGTTCAAAATTTTCTTCCATCTCGAAGTCATTCATTATGCCCGACCATCTGTCAGCATTTCTTAAAGTCGAAGATATCTTGCATAACTGCCCTTGGTTTATCACAATCGCGACAAGAATCGTGTCAGACGAGATTAAAGGTATTTATTAAGAAGCAGTGGAGCCGCCTGTCAGTTTTTTAAAAAAGATCCATGATTGGCTATTCATCTCCAAAAAAAAAAAAAAAAAATAGGCAGACGTGGTCGATGGTAAATCACGAAAATGTAATATTTAAATTTTCTTCGCTTTAATATCATAAGTTTTTAATATACAAAAATGTTCTCATTTTCACGTGAAGTTAAAATTATAAAATGCAAAGACAAAATAAAGCGTTTTCATAAAAGAAACTTTTTTTTTTTTTTTACTGAAAGATAATCTCATATGCGAACTTTAACATATTGCGTGGTAAAGCCGCTATTTGAATGCGTAATATTAACATTATTATTTATTAGGTACTACAATTATGTCCTAAAAAATAATTAAAAGCCTTCTTAATATATGATAATATTCGATTCAATTAGAAATTCTTTAAAAAAAAAAATGATTGGTGTTTATTTAGTCTCAAATTTGACATTGGTTAAATGAATAAAATATTTTCGCCTCAACATTATTACAATAGATCAAAAGTACAGTAATTTAATAAAAATATTTGTTTTATTGATGCTTACCTATAACTATTAGTAAATTAGTAAAAGTTAATCTTCAACTTGTAAATTATACTGATTTATTGCTACTATAAATTTGAAAAATCTATTTGACCTTAGAAAGCTTTATAATCCCCTCTCAGTGGTTTGCTGTCTGCAATTTGGAAATTATATTATTTTGACAGTTAACAATATCAAATATTAAAATTTTTTTCTTATTTAATATATTTAAAGCATAATTTGAATACTTTGATCTTAAGCATTATAATTATCAATATGAAATATGAAATGTGTAAAAATATTTATTTTATTTTGCTAATAATACGAACTATAATAAATGCATTTCCCTAGACATTTTGAAGCTACCAAATTACAGTCAGAAACAATTTCTTTTTATTTATTGCTTTTAATATTAAAGAATTATAAATATAAATATTAATTAAACTATTTAATATGAAAAATTAAAAGTGTAATTATTAAATGAATAATTATTTTCTTTAAATATATTTACTGTAACTCATTAAAACCATTTGTTTATAGTATTTTCCTGTAAATTTGAAAAGAATGGTCTTATAATTTTTTAAAAAATATATAATAATTAGTAAAAAATTTATAGAATGAAATGACTAGTATTAATCTATTACAATTAAAAAACAGAAGTAAATATATAAAAATATTAATTGTCTATTAAATATATATTTTGATCATTTTTATTATACTTTAGTAATCTAAAAGCTAAATTTACAAGATTAAAATAAGTAATAATTTCTTATAAAATATAAAATATTGATTTTAGTATTATTATTATATAAAAAATATAGTTTAAAATATATTTATCAAACTTATTAGTAAGTATTTTTAAGTTTTTATATTTATATACTAATTGAATAACTTTATTACTAATAGAATTATAAAATTTCTTAAAAGTTATAAAAATTTTAATAATAAAATTATTTTTTATGATAAATTTTATAATATAATATTCTCATAGATAGGATTATAAAGAACTGTTCTATTAGCTTTTACTTCTATTTCACTTACAACTATTCATCAGTATGCAAGAAAAGCATTTTACTATATAAATGTATACTGAAAAGGCTTAACAGGTTAGGCAGCAGAATTTGCAATCAAAAAATACTGTTTATATCACTGGGTTTCTGATTCAGTTTTACAATCAATCGATACTTAGAATAAAAGTTTCATTTAATACATATTTACTCACATTAGCCATGGATAAAAAAAGAAAAAAGTTTAGTGATTATGTTATTAATATAAATGCATCAATAGTAATTAAAGTAAATTGCTTAAAAAATAGAATACTTATCTTATTTAGATATCTATTTTTACCTTTTTCAAATAAATAAAATAGAGAAATGCATTGTTTAAATGTTAAAGATTTATATTTAAAATTTAAAAAAAAAATTTATTTATAAAGACAGAATAAGAAGCTGTGTTGTTTTATTCTCAATTAATTACACAAAAATCATTTGACTTTATTGCATTTAGGCCATTTAGGCATAAAAGATCATAATTAGATTGACTTTTTGCTTTGTTAAAAATCATTTTATAAAAAATCTAAAATCATAGTTTTATTGAGCTTGAACTGCTCTACCATTCTACAATTATATTTTATGTTTATTTTTTTTGAGTAAGAAGTAGTAATTTAAATTTTATTAAAATTTAATAGTTAGGATTAAGTTGTATGCACTGTACTATATAATATATAATATATACAAATTATTTTTAAAAAAGCTTGAATCTTTAGCCGATCTTTGGTTCATACTGAACCTTATTACTCAATTAATTATAAATATAAAATCAATTAATTATATAAATAAATAAATATAAAAAAATATAAAAATAAAAAAAATGAATTTTAACTACATCTGATATTTAATATGAATTGGACTTCACTATTCAATTAAATAGTAAAAAAATAAAAAATAAAAATAAAATAAAAAAAGTTATTTTTATAAACTTGAATTTTCAGCTGATATTTGGTACAAACTGGATCTCACTAATTAAATATAAAAAAAAATATATAAAAGTATAAAAATAAAAATAAAAATAAAATAAAAAATATATGTTTTTTTTCATTTTCAGTATAAACTAGATTTGGCTTTACTACTTAATTAATAATATAAAAATTAAATTTTATTTTTATATTTTTCGGTATAGTTATTATAATCTTCAAAAAGAACTAATACTATTAAATTAAATAAATGTTTATATTTATATTTGTCTATATAGTTTATATCTTATTTTACATATTTTAGTATTATAATATACTTATTATATATTATTAAGAAGTTTATTTGTTTGATTCCAAATTATTTGGTATGAGAATATTTATTTTTTAACATAGGCATTTTAATATTATAATAATTTTTATAAATTTAAAGAAATTAATAAATTTGTTATAAAGTACTTTATTTTGTTTTTTTTTGATTTTTGAGATGGTTAAAACTAAAGTTATATTTATATAAATTTTAAGATACCTTTTTTCATATTGAATAATATAAATATAATATTATTTGCAAAATGTCATCTATATTGAAAAAAAAGAAAAAAGAAAGAGAACAATATAAAAAGAAAAAAATGCAAGATTCATATTAAAAGAATAATATAAAAAGTGAAAAAAAAAACTATTATTTTTTAATTATAAATGTAAATTATAATATTATTTTAATTAACATGTTTAAAATATGCATACAATATGATAAAATAAAATTTAATTATATTTAACATTACTTAATGCTATTTCATATACATATGATGACCTTCTGCAATAATATTTTGCAAAAATCTGATCTGATTTGAATCTAATCTAAATCTAATAGTTCAGATTAAATAGATTTGAATCAGATTCAGATTTGAATTTGATCTGATT